GCTGAAGTTGGACTTAAATGTTTAAAAAAGTTTATAAACTTATTTGAAAAAATTTTTGTTGGTACATAGATATTAGTTGTATATATTTATGGAATACATGAGATGTTTTGATACAGACATGCAATGTGAAATAAGCATATTATGAAGAATGGGGGGTATGCATCCCCTCAAGCATTTATCTTTTGAGTTACAAACCAATTACATTCTTTAAGTTATTTTAAAATATACAATTAAATTGTTATTGACAGTAGTCACCCTATTGTGCTATCAAATAGTCGGTCTTATTCTTTCTGGGGTTTTTTTACCCATTAACCATCCCCACCTCACCCCATTCTCCTACTATACTTCCCAGCTTCTGATAACTATCCTTCCACTCTGCATGTCCATGATTTCATTTGATTTGATTTTTAGATCCCACAAATAAGTGAGAACATTCAATTTGTCTTTCTGTGCCTGGGGTATTTCATTCAACATAATCATCTCCAGTTCCCTCCATGTTGTTGCAAATGACTGGATCTCATTGTTTTTTATGGCTGAATAGTACTCCACATTTTCTTTATCCATTCATCTATTGATGAACACTTAGTTTGCTAACAGATCTTAGCTATTATAAACGGTGCTGCAGTAAATATAGGATTGCAGATACCTCGTTGATACACTGATTTCCTGTCATTTGGGTATATACCCAGCAGTGGGATTGTTGGATCATATGGTAGCTCAATTTTTAGTTTTTTGAGGAACCTCCAAATTGTTCTCTATTGTGGTTGTGCTAATTTACATTTCCACCGCAGTGTACAAGGGTTCCCCTTTCTCCATACCCTCACCAGCATTTATTGTTGCCTGTCTTTTGCGTATATGCCATTTTAACAGGGTTGAGATGATATCTTATTATAGTTTTGATTTGCATTTTTGGATGCTCAGTGATGTTGAGCACCTTTTCATATGCCTGTTTGCCTTTTGTATGTCTTCTTTTGAGAAATGCGTATTCAAATCTTTCACCCATGTTTTGATTGCTTTGGTTGCCTGTGTTTGTGGGTATTGCTCGAGAGATCTTTGCCCAGACAAATATCCTGGAGAACTTCTCCAGTGTTTTCTTGTAGTAGTTTTGTAGTTTGAGATGAAACTCAACTTAGATTTAGATTTAAACTTAAACTTAGATTTAAGTCTTTAATCCATTTGGATTTCATTTTGTATATGGAGATAGTGGTCTAGTTTCATTCTTTTACATATGGATATCCAGTTTTCCCAGAACCGTTTATGGAACGGACTGTCTCAGTGTGTGTTCTTGGCACCTTTGTCAAAAATGAGTTCACTGTAGGCATGTGGATTTGTTTCCGGGTTCTCTATTTTGTTCCATTAGTCTGTGTGTCTCTTTTATGCCAGTACCATGCTGTTTTGCTTACTATTGCTGGATTTAAATAATCTTAAAGATTTCCTTTAAAAGAAAGTCTAGAAACAGATCCTAATGTCTATAATGTATTATAAAGGTGGCATTCAAATTGATAATTTAACAAATGGTGCTAGAACAACAGGCTAACCATTTGGAAAATAGATAAATAGGAATTTTTGTCAATATGGTATGTCAGGATAGGTTCAGATGACTTAAAAATGAGCACAGGGTTAGGTTCAGATGACTTAAGAATGAGCAAAGGATATAAGTGGTTTATAAAATGAGGAGATACAAATGGCCAGAAATTTAACTTTATTAGTTATGTGTTCAGATTGGGAAAGATGAAAAGAATGTCAGTTCTCTGGAGGGAAATGGACCTTCTCAAACTGCTAGTGGGAATGGAACTGTTTTTACACGCTGGGAAGGAAATGGGGCAATATATAGGAAAAATATTAAAATTGTGTACACTCCTTGACTTGGCAATTTTGTTGGCATTTCTCCTAAGTGGGTACATTTTTAAAAATATAGGTCAAGAATACTTACTGAAATACTATTTATATTAAGAAAAAAGTAGGGACCTCCCAAGTATCCAATGATAAAAGTCTGGTTAAGTTCCATACCATGGAATGCTGTGTAGCCTTTTAAAATTATGTAGGTGTGTAGTTATTGAAACTGAAATGTATTCCCCAGAGAAGAGGATTGTTAGAATAAGGCCATGTATACACATTGCTTAGCACAGTGCCTGGCATATAGTAAGTCCTCAAATCTTAGCTTAGAAAAGGTAGGAAAAACAGGTTATCAATGTGTATGTTTCCAAAATATCTTTCATGGAGTCTTTATTCTCCACCCATCTGCCAGGAACCATTATTGCCTTATTCTTGTGGGACTAGACCCTTTCTCTGGGATTCAGATCAGATTTTCTGCAGTCTGTCTCCTCACCTTCCAAACTCATGCTTTCTGTTTTCCAACACAGGCTCCCTGCTCTAGCCAGTCTCCTCGCTGCCTTTTGCCTTTCCTTGCCTTTGTACCTTCGCGTGTACCACTCATCATCCTATCTGGAATACCCCTTCCCTTTCTCTGCTCCAGTCTAAATATATCCATTCTTTTTTTTTTTTTTTTTTTTTTTTTCCTTGACACAGGGTCTTAACTCTGTCACCCAGATTGGAGTGCAGTGGTGTAATTATGGTTTACTGCAGCTTTGACCTCCTGGGCTCAGGTGATCCTCCCACCTTAGCCTCTGGGTAGCTGGGACTACAGATGTGTACCACCACACACAGCTAATTTTTTCTTTTTTGGAGATGGTGTTTTGTCATGTTGCCCAGGTTGGTCTCAAACTCCTGGGCTCCAGGGATTGGCCTGCCTCAGCCTCCCAAAGTGCTAAAATTACAGACATGAGTCACTGTGCCCAGCCTACATCTATTCTTTTAAACCCTGTTTATGCCTTGTGAAATTTAACATTGCAGCTTCAGTAATTGTTCACCATCCCAGGGCTTCTTTGCCATATCATGTCTTATTTCTTATTGTTAAGACATACAACATGTGAGAATTTAGCCAAATTATATATTCTTTGAGGACGTAGATTGATTTTGATATTATACTTTATTCTCTCCCTCACATGGTTCCTTGAACATAATTTAATGCTCCTTAATGACTGCTGAATTAGAACATATCTTTTTTTTTTTTTGCAATAATCTATCAAGGTGAGATGTTTTAATAACATAAAATTAACCATTTTAAAGCAAACAGTTCAGTGGCATTCACCAAGTGCAACCACCCCAAGTTGTTTTCAACACTCCAAAGTAAAATCCCTTACCTATTAAGCAGTTGCTCCCTATTCCCTCCTTCCCGTCTCCCCTGGCAATCCCCAGTCTGCATTCTGTCTCTATGGATTCGCCTATTCTGGTCATTTCATATAGATGGAGTCATATGATAAGTGACCTTTTGTGTCTGGCTTCTTTCATTTAGCATAATGTCTTGAAAGTTCTTCCATGTTGCAGTATGTGTCAGTAGTTCCATTTTTTTATGGTTGAATAGTATTCTGCTCTATATTTACCACAATTTGTTTATCCATTCATCTGTTGATGGACACTTGGACGGTTTCTACCTTTTGGCTACTGTGATTAGGGCTACTGTGAACATGTATATGCAATATTTGTTTGAGTCCCTTTTCAGTTTAGGGGGTATATACCTAGGAGAAGAATTGCTGCATTGTGGAAATTCTGATTCACTTTTCAAGGAATTGTTTTCCATAACCAGTGTATCGTTTTACATTCCCACCAGGAATGAAGATGGTTCCAATTTTTCTACATTCTTGCCACCACTTGTTATTTTCTGCTTTTTGGTTATAGCCATTCTAGAGTGTATGTGAAGAGGTACCTCACTGCGGTGTGATTTACATTTTCATAATTAGTAATTAGTAATGATGTTGAACAACTTTTCATGTGTTCAGTGACCTATTTCAGGTCTTTTGCCTGTTTGTAAAATTGTGTTGTCTTAATTGGGTTGTACGAGTTCTTTATATATCTTGCATACTAGACTCATAATGTGTATCTTTTTTTTAAAAATTTTTATTTTACCTTAGGTTCTGGGGAACGTGTACAGGTCATGCAGGGTTGTTGCATAGGTACATACATAACCAGGTGGTTTGCTGCCTCTATTTTCCCGTCATCCATCCATCTATCTATCTATCTATCTATCTATGTATATTTTAAGTCAGAGTTCTGCTGTTGTTGCCCAGGCTAGAGTGCAATGGCACGGTCTTGGCTCATTGCAACTTCTGCCTCCTGGGTTCAAGTGATTCTCCTACCTCAGCCTCCCAAGTAGCTAGGATTACAGGCACCCACCACCACGTGTGGCTAATGTTTGTATTTTAGTAGAGACGGGGTTTCGCTATGTCGGCCAGGCTGGTCTCAAACTCCTGACTTTGTGATCCACTCGCCTTGGCTTCCCAAAGTGCTGAGATTACAGGCATAAGCCACGATGCCTGGCCTAGTGTGTATCTTTTAACGTTAAGTCTCCCTGGTTTGGCTTTATTCTCCCTTTTGTGATTTTTAAAATTTATGGTAAATGCTGCCCCATAGATGTTCAGTTGAAGGATCTTAACAATATTAGTTCCACATTTGTCCTGTGACAAAAATTGTACTAGTACTATTTCTGCCCTTTTGCCTTTAGATAAGTTACAACCTATTTAAACCTTATATCACCATCCGGGAAGCTCACTGGCTTTGCTCATTTGAGAATGGTGGTGAGGACCATCACTAATGGATGTGCAAGATACTTGCAAACCATAAAACATTACCCACTTATAAAGGTAACCTATAGGTTGCTACTTCTGTTTTTCATTTTTTAGAGCCAGGGTCTCACTGTTTGAGACCCAGGCTGGTTGCTTCGCTGTTGCCCAGGCTGATCTTGAATTCCTTACCTCGAGCTAGTTTCCTGAGTTGCTGGAATTACAGGTGTGAGGCACTGTGCCCAGCCAGTTGCCACTTTTAGTGTTGTTCACACCTGTTCTTATTTTGGTTTTATGGATTTTTAAGATTCCAGTTCAAAGTTAAGCACCTAAGAGCATACATTAAGGTGCAGAGAATAACCAAGAATGCTTGCCTTTCAGAGTCATCCTTTTTGAACTTCCATGACTCAGACTGCGAACCCAAGGGATCACCACCCTGTGACTCCTTGCTTTCCCTCAACACTGAAAAGATCCTGGTATGTGTCTTCTCTGTGTGTTCTGCTTTTGTGACCTGAAGCCCAGCAACACTAATTCCAAAAAGTGGAGGTCACCTCTGTTTGTCAACTAGAAGTTGGGCCTCATTGAGTCTACATGCATAGAATAAAGATAGGTCATCTGGTACTTTGTCACACTGAATCACACTGAATTATGATGACTTATGAATTGGATGGTTGATCATTCTGGAAATAGATTTTTAATTTGCAAGTGCCAAGAAATAAAGGGGACATCATGGTTGAACTTTATTTCTAGCAGACTTGCGTATTTGGAGGTATAGTAGACTCTATTTTTCCAACCTTTGCATATGTGGGTATCTTTTATATCTATGTTTTCTATCAGTACCCACTAAACTATACAGCAGGCCTCTCCATTTCAGGGGTGAATACTGGCGCTAACGTTTGTGTCTGTCTATCCGTGTTAGTGCGTCTCCTCCTCCAGCCTGGCTCTCTCAAGGGGGATGGGTCTTCTTTTTGTTCACACTTAACTCTATGAAGCTCAATGGTTATTTCCATGTCCAAGTTTGATATATTTTTTCTCCAGGCCTTTTCTTACAACTCTACATAGATACTCTTTACATCTTTGATGTAAAATTTCCTTTTAAGATACTTTTTTTTTTTTTTTCAAACAAAGCTTTGCCTTTTCTTGTCAGAACTACTGAAGATGGATTGAAACTGCAAACTAGAGACTGACTGGCTGCTTTTACCTAACTCACTGCATAGCAATCAACTTGATATATGGAAAACTCTTGAGTTAGACTTGCCAAAAGCCCGAGGGGCTATCTTGTAAAGCAGCGAGTTGGTCATCTCTGAAAGTGTTTAGGTAGAAGTTGGATAGGCAGTTAGTTTCTTAGAGTTATGAAAGTCTTCTTACTGAGAGTAGCTAAAATATTTTCTACTAGTTGCATTTCCAGTTTAAGATAGCACTAGCTAGTGACGTATGGGAGAAAGCTCATTAGTCTTGGCTTTTCATTTTCCTGAGGTTGAAATATGGGACTTAGACTATTCACTTATTGATCGATTATCCAGATACTTATTTTGTACCTATTATGTGCCAGGCATTTTGCTAGGTGAGTATTAGGAATAGAGCAGTAAGCCAGATAGTGTTGGTCTCTGCACCATGACTTCTAAAGTCACCAACCAAATAATTATGCAATTAAACATAAAAGTGTGATTGTACACATCATATGAAGGAGTAGCAAGAGTCAAAATAATCTCCCTTTAATTAGCAGTATCAGGCAGTACAGCTTTTAAGAACTAAAATGTAAGCAGGGATGAGAAAATTGGTTTGAAATTACTCTACTAGTGATGTTGAGCTGTATGTTCAAACTTAGATAGTATTAGAAATAAAGATTCTTTTCCTCAAGAATTTATTTGTTTGTACTATACTTCTCCTGCCCACTTTCTAATGAATACAAACAAAGTAAAATCAAATACATTCTTCAGTGTACTCTTGGGGTTGCTTAGTAATGATTTCTTCTCTTCATGGAATTTTATTTCTATCCTCTTCCCCATATCTTTTGCAGAAAGGCTTGGCAAATGGTAGACTCTCCTCAAATATTAAATAAAGCAATATTTGTATACCCTTTTTCTTGGCTCCAAGCAATTTACTTGTTTTTTCCCCAGCTTCACGGAGGTATAATTGACAAATAAAAATTATATATTTACAGTGTACGGTGTGATAATTTCATATACATATACATTGTGAAATGATTGCCACAGTCGAGCTATCTACATAATTTATTATTTGTTTATTCATTTTTGAGACAGGGTCTTGCTCTTTTGCCCAGGCTGGGGATACAGTGGTACAGTCAGGGCTCCCTGCAGCCTCGACCTCCTGGGCTCAAGCCATCTTCCTGCCTCAGTTCCCCCGAGTAGCTGGGGCTATTGCTGTGCACCACCATGCTGAGCTAATTTTTTTTTAACTTTAGTAGAGACAAGGTCTCACTGTGTTGCGCAGGCTGATGTCAAAACTCCAAAGCTCAAGCAGTCTTTCTGCCTTGGCCTCCCAAAGTGCTGGGATTATAGCCATGAGCCATCATGCCCTGCCTATCTAAGCAATTTATTAAAGGAGAAAAATCTTTTGCATCTGTGAACTTGTCTATAAACTTTGATAAAGAGGAAGGACTCATGTTCTAGTCACACCCAGCTATATACCATTAGTAACACCCTTACATATTGTTAAATCTGCCACGTCTTGAAGCTTTACCAGCTTCCCATATGTGGAAGGTCCCAGCTACATAGCAAAACTAGAAAGGGCTGATAAGAGTTTCTCTCTCATCATCAAGATTCTACTGAAAGACAAAGTATAAAACCTTCCCACAATAGTGGGATTTTCTTGTTTCCATTTAAATCAAGTGTAGCCTTAATTTTTAAAAATACAGCTTTTAATACAAGTTTTTTTTTTTTAAATTTGTGGTAAGCTAAAATATATATGTTTTTCCCCCCCTCAGAGCCAGGCCAAGTCTATTGCAGAACAAAAGAGATTCCCGTTTGCCACTGATAATGACAGCACAAATGAAGAGTTAGGTAAGACTTGAATCTGGGAATATTTCTGTAATATTTGCCTCAATTTTTTGGTTAGATGCATTAATAGGAAGGCAGGATGGTGAGGTATAAAGAACACTGAGACTGGCTCTGCCAATTTGAGCTGTTTGATCTTACATAAAACATTCAGCCTTGTGAAGTTCCATTTATTATATGTCCAAAAAAAAAAAAAAAAAGGTTTGGATGGAATAATCTGTTCCAGCTCTCCATTTCTATTGAAATTAATAATTATGGTAATGAGCTGTTCCTATTCAGTAATAGGTTATTTGTGTGCTGTCATCACATGACCGATGAAGTGAGCAATGAATAAGTGAAAGCAGAATAGAATCTCAAACTACCTACTTTTCTATGTAGTGAAATAGCTATGTTTAAGCTATTTTATTCATAATGCTAGTCAGTTATTTTTGGGTCTAAGAATGTGAGTGTAGAAAAATTGAATTCATTCATATCTGCACGAGTCACGTAGTTTGGTATGTTCATTGCATATTTTAAAACAGGCTGGTTTTCTCAGTGTCAGATGTACACTGGGTGTATTTCCCTCTGTCTAGTGAGCTTACATGTGAGGAAGTGGAGATAAATTGAATACAGGGCTGAGCAGTGCAACTGGACAAACTATTGAAGCACGTTCTCGCATGTGGCCCACTCACTCGCCCAAAGTACCTGCGGGAATTCTTTTCTGTCTAATTTATGCATAATTATTTTATCCTTACCATGGCCATACATGTTTGTTTGATATTAAGACTAAGTGCTCTTTATATTGGCTTCTTTCCTATTAGTGTGGAGTCTTGCTCTGTGGCCCAGGCTGGAGTGCAGTGATGCAATTATAGCTCACTGCAGCCTTGAACTGGGCTGGAATATCTTCTCACTTCAGACTCCTGAGTATGTGGATTATAGGTACATGCCACTATGCCTGGCTAATTTTTAAAATTTTTTTATAGAGACCACGACTCACCATATTGCCCAGCTGGTATCAGACTCGTGGGCTCCAGGGATCCTCCTACCTTGGCGTCCCAGAGTGCTGACTATTTTGGAAATGCAAATCACTTTATGGTGATGTTCTTTGAGAAGGCTTTGAGGATTGCCCTTCAAGGCATCAGATCTGGTCTTTTTTGAAGTCCTTGGATTCTACTTAGAGTAGTATTTATTTATTAAAATAATGAATTCAGGGCTTGATATGTGCTATGTCGGTTCTGTTCTCCAAGAATAATTCTAGTAGACCCTGGGGTAGTGTAGGCCCTGAGCTGGCCTGTGATCTTTTGTACTCAGTATTTTTTCTTGAAAAAATGACATCTGTGAACATATACATTGCTCGGAGATGTGGGATTGCTGGTAAGTAGAGATTTCTGAGAAAATCCAGTTATAGCAGCTTTTCCTTTATGTCTTTGGACTCCTATAACAAAATTTAGATCCTAATTGTTATTTGTATTTGTACAAGATTTGTATTATGATTATTCTTTTATTAATAAATATTTCTGGGTTTTGTTCACAAAATGTTGAGTTTTAGGTGGAGATATTTGAAAACTGCTTTTGATTTTGAGTGGAATTCGATCGCTTAGATGTGGACAGCCATTTAAATATGTTCTAAACTACAAAAGTTATTCCTGAAAATCATATTTGTTTTTATGGCTGGCTCATTGATTGATTTGTTCATTCAATAGATATTTACTCATTATGGGATGATAGATAGGAAATAAAAATTTAGATTTGAAAGGAATCTTTAAGAAAATCTTCTACAGGCTTATTAAGCAAGACCCAGACAGTTATGAGAAGTGAATGAAGTCCCGATGATCATGTGGCTGGTGAGTGGCAGAGCCAGAATCCGAGCCCAGATCTTGGTTTTCTGATCTATTGTCATCTTCTTGTATTCAAAAAAGTACAAGTTTTATGTTTTTATCCATGTTTATCTGACCATTAAGGAATTTCAACCACTTGGCCATCCCTTCAGCGCACAGTGGTTTGGGAACAGCCTTGATTTGTTTCAGCATACCGCGCTGGATGAGAGGTTAGGCTCTGGAGCCAAGCAGCTTGCTGCTTTCCTCTCGCTCACTGCTTGTGGTCCTTGGACAGCTTGTTTAACCACTTTATGGGTTAATAATTGTACCTTCCTCATTGCAGTGGAGGAGCAAATGAGTTAATACTGGTAAAGGATATTACTATGCCTGGCACATATTAAGAATGCAATGCCTGTAGCTACTATGATTCTTGCTACTGTTTTTACTACTATTAATACTGCCCGTCCTTCCACCCCCAAAACTAAAGGCATCCTCTGGTTACCTGGAGGTTAGCTATCTGAATGGTATCCATTGTCAGCATTCTGAACATGAATTTGGGCTTAACTGATCTTTTCAAAAAAAGTAGGGCAAAAGGGCCCTCTTTTTATTTTGAAGAATGCCCCCAGAAGTGCTTGTATTATTATGGGGCTCAATTTGAACTTCATTGTTACTCTACTGATTTATGAATATATTTTAAACTCTTTCTACATATCATTTCTGTTTCTGCTTTGTTTAATGTTTTTACTACTTTTAACTGTCAGGAAATAGAAGCTTTAATGACAGTGAAAGTTTTCATTGCCCATCTTCTTGAACACCTATTAGGTCCTAAAAGGTAAAAGTTTACCGGAAAGCTTTTTTTGCAAAGAAATGTCATCAAAATAGTTATATTGATTGAGGAATAAAATTTTTTTCAGGGATTTTTTTTAGGTGGGGGGCACTAAGGGTTAAGCGGTCAGGGCAAATATTATAGATGGTAATATAATCTAGAAGATTCAAATATTGTTTTTTGGATGGGTGGCAGAATTTAGTCAGAATATTGCTGTGTTTTCAGAGATTGTCCTGGCTCTGTTTTCTAAATACCACTTTCCTAAACAATGTGATAAAAAATGATTCTTTAGTATATATTTTGAGTAGTGTATTGACTATATTTTGAAGGGAAGAAACACTGTCATTGCATTATAATGGTGTGCATTATCCACAGTTAAGCATTATGTTACCAAATTTGAGTCCCTGTTTTTGTTCTTATTAGATAATTGGCAATAAATTCAGCACTCTCAGGAATTGATATTTGTGATGCTACTTGGGTATTTCTCATAACATTCACAGTAAAAATCACATTGCCATGTTAGATGGACATTATTTAGGTTTATTACTAGCTTTTTTGATAGCTGGAGACATCACAAAGGTTATTTGGGATTTGGAAATGAATGACGGGCTTAGAAAAAGATAAGTATCTCTTGTAGGCAGATATTTCATAGATGACTTTAACAATTTAAATCTAGATGGAACTGGAAGGCTGATTAGCAAGTGCGGAGTGATGAAAGTAGAAGAATTCAATGGCACCTTATTAACTTCTAGGTTTTCTTTAACTGCTTTCAGTGCTGGGAGCTGCCTTTGGAGATTTACCGAAGAATTTAGTTATTGATTCTAGTTTGAGCTACTTTATTTTTTCCTTTAATATTTTTGTATTTTGTTTCATAGCTATTGCTTATGTCTTGATTGGCAGTGGTCTCTATGATGAAGCAATACGGCATTTTTCAACAATGCTTCAGGTAATTTTTCTTCTTATTTATATAATTTCAAGTTTATAGTCATGACAAAAATATGGACTAATGCATAGCTGAAGTGCTGTAATGAAACATATTTTTAAATTATACAAAAAAACAAAAGAAATTGGTATGGACTGAGCACTTTCTTGGTGCTAGGCCTTGTGACATGCTTTCATTTAATCTTTTAAACGAAAGATTTGAAATAAAACCTCATTTTAAATGAGAAAAAGGGAATCTAATCAGCTCAAGCAATTTACTCATAGTCTCCTGACCATCAAGTTGCAGAGATGGGATTCACATGCAAGGTTTAAAAAAACATTAGCTTCAGTTCACTTTCCTCTCTACCACAGTATCTCCCATGAGATCCAGACACTGGAAATTCTTGAAATTCCAACTTATTTTCACACAGGAGTTGATCTTCATGATTAACTTAATTTCTACTCATAGGTATGTTTCTCACCTTAAGTATAATTATGAGACTCCTCAATGAAGTATTGGGTCTTTATTGATTGATGGCTGCGCTAAAGTCTGGTTAAGATAAAGCATGCAAGCACTGCATGTGTAAGAGTTTCTGCCCAGCAACATCGGCCTTATATCTTGTATCATTATTTAACTGTATGCACTGTTGGTGCCTAACCATTTATTGATTGTTGATGTGTCTTTCCAGTAAAGTACAGTGAAGAAGATAATGGATTTTAGAGCTAGAGATGCCTTAATTCTAATCCACTCTGCTTCTTGCTACAAAGTTGTTTAACCTCCTGAGTTATGGAGATAATAGTAACTACCTCCAAAAAAAATCCTTTTTTGGTTTCAATGAAATATCCTAAAGTAATTACTACCCAGGGCCTGGCACATAGTAAGTGCTTAGTAAATTTTGGCTAGTCAGAGTACCATTCTTGTGTATATTCATCTGTGTTAATCATAGCAAGTGCCAACAAATACCTTACAAGCTAGCAGGCAGACTTAATTTAAATGATTAATTTTGATTTAGTTTGCTTTTGTTTTCTCTTTAAAAATAAGGTTAATTACATTGATAATATGTTGATTCTCAAACAATTGATGAGATATTTTTAGTTATTACTTTGTGGTCTTTGGATCCAAGCAGCAGTATATTTGGGTGGTCATGTGGAATACTATTCTGCAGTGGAATTTAAAGTACAAAGGGTAGACTATAAATCGTTTTAAAAATCACCTTTCTTTTAAGGGTTGGGAATGTTATAAAAGGTAAGCAAGCACTTTTACACAGTTAACACTTGACTCTGATTTGAAAGCGAGGTTTTGATACATTTATAGGAGCAAATATCAGTTAATTTAAGGCAACCAGGGTGGAGCATAGAATCCAGAAGAAATAGGAGTTTGCAGATGTATTATGATTTTATTCAACTTTTTGGAAATATTATTACCATTGTGGTTGAAGACAATATAACACTGTTAAAATATTTTCAATAATAAAAAATTTTCCAATTCTGCCACTTTAACATTGTTTAAATTTTTTATTTGTACCTTTTCAAAGTATGCATTTATTTTATAATCTGAATATGTATACTATTTTGTATTACTTTTTCACTTAATTCTATACTGTAAATATTTTTTAGTGTTTTTCTATGGTCTTATGATTTTAATGGCTCTATGATATGCCTTTGTTTTGTCTGTTTATAGTTGTAGATACTTCTCTTGCAATTGTATTCAGAAAGTATATTAGCATTTTTCTTTTTGTGCAAAGAAGTTGATAATGTATTGAAATGTGATATTGCATTTTCATCGATCTGTGATACAGTGAGTTACTGTCAGCTGGGAAATCTCTCTTTGAGAATGTGTGGATTATATTAGCCTCTTTTGCTGGCAGTTCAGACAATTGATGGGGCAGGGATGAAGGCAGTGGAAAGTTCAGATGCAGACGAACTAACTGGGTGGTCATTTATAACATATTTTTCTATAGCAGCAAGAATGCCCTTGACTTTCCTGCTGGTGCTTTCCTCGGTGATTTCTCTCTCTTTACCCTCTATCTTGATGCTTTCCCGCTTTTTCCACGTCATGACCTATGTGGAAATTATATTTGCATGGCACGTGGGTAAGCAAGAATAGATTTGGAGCCATCCAGATAAAGCTATGTGAAAATCTGTTTCATTTTCCTTGTATTATATGACTGATAAGAAATAGAAAATCCAAAGATTCTACACTCCAGCCAGAGAGCAAGAACCTGTATCTGAAAAAAAAAGAAAGAAAATATGAAGATTTGATGTTAAATGATAAAATTACTTTCAAAAATTTTAATAAGAAACTTGGTCCTACTTTTCTGGACAAAACTTTTCTATATTAGAGTTTATGTTTGAAATTGACGCACACAGTCTCTGTCTGAGTTTTCTGTTGATTTTATCAAACTCTTGATAGACAGTATCATTAAGACACTGTAAAAGTAGGTGGAAACAAATGTCCAAAGAATAGTTACTGCTTCTTCTCTAATTGATTAAAATTCCTTTTTCATCATAAATCATAATTTGCATAAATCATTCCCTTTAAATTATATATTACATGTATGATTATTCTCTAAATCATTGCTCTTTTCTTTTTTTTTGTTTTGTTTTTTATTCTGTTGGCAAGTGTAGTGATAATATTTCTTGCAGTAATGAAATACATTTTTATCTCAGTAATACTTTTTCATATCCAGTATTTCAGAATAGTGATGAAGCTTTTCTTCTAGCATACACGGATGTTGCTCTACTACTTTTCATTCTTCAGCTTATACTGGAACTAAATATCACTTGAGAACCATTTTTCTTTGTATATGCTAATATATGTTTACCTCTTCCTTGCAGGACCTTCCAGATATGTGAAATTGCAGTGTTTTTAAACCAGTAAATGTCCTTTAACAAATCTTTAAAGTAGTAGCTATTCATGCACAGACTTTTTAGTTTTCTTGAGTTCATTAACTCTTGGCAAAATGTTTTTTTTAAAGACAGCTCATGAGCTCCAGTATGAAGCAACAGAGCATGGAATCTGATTCTGTTCATAGAAGCAGACAACAAATGGGGACTCAAGGGCTTAGATTTTATTAGAATCACTATTTTGATAATATCATTTAATATGAATTTCAGATCTACATATAAGGGATACTTTAACTCCAGAATGACTTTTTGATGTAAAACTCTTATACCTTTCCTGTTGTCTTGGTTTCATCATCAGATTACATACCTGGGAAATAGTTCCATAATCCTTGGTGTTTGAAAGTGTTTATTGGAATGTTTATTCCCAGTGGTTTAATTTTCCTTTATGGAAGTATCAAAGTTTCTATCTGAGCACAATGACAGGGTTTAATAGATGTCAGTCTGCATTAGAAACTCTTGATTTTTAAAGCTTATGAGTTAGTGTTATCTCTGTGCCAGTGCCCTGAAGTCGCTTCTGCGTGTGTCAGTGCATCCATAATAGTGTTCTTGGGTTGAAAAGTAGAACTTTTCCTAATTTCTGTGCTTTTTTGGTCCCCATGCAGGGCTGGGTATAACATAAATGCTTCAGCAATTTTATGAGGCAATTTGGACTTTGCTGTTCCTTATGTGACCTTGAGCTCATCTGATTTTGATCTGATTCCAGTGGAGCTAAACTTGTAAAAGAACATTATTTCCTATTTTACACTAGCACACAAAATTGAAAATATTCCTCTGCATAGAATTTTTAATAACATCTTTTATGCAAATACGTGTGTCTGTCACTCAGGTAAAATCTAATCTCATTACATTGCTTATGTACTGACTGTTTTGACTTGTTTGTTTTTAGATCCAGTGAGTTTCCAGTTTTAATTTAAAAAGCCAGCCTTGTAGTGGTAAATACAGTAAATACTGTAAAATTAAAAATCACTGTATAACTAATAAAATGAGGATGATATATTAGACCTTTTTTTTGAGAATTGAGACATCTAAGTAGGCACAACACCATCTAGGCAACTGTCTTATACCATGATTTTGCAGTTGCATAGAGTAAAATTGGAAGATTGAAATAATCATTTGTATTTCACTCTTTTAAATTTAAGAGTATGGAAACTTCTTAAAGAAACTTTAAAAAAAGTTTCTGAAAACTTTATAAAGTATAAATTCTATAAAAATATTTTGAAAAATTGCTCTTCAGAGCCCAATTTGTTTTTAGGAATAAACATTGATTTTTATTTGGGGAAAAAACCCAATAATTTATTATGGCATTCCATAAAGAAAAGTTTTTGGTTTTTTAGCTAATGATAGTTAAAATAATAATTAAATAAAGTTGCATCAACTTTTAAAAGTAATAAAATCTATTATTTAAATTTAGGAGTGCTTAATACTAGACTGTAGCTATAACAGCCACAATAATTACATGTCCTTCTTGACTGTTAGGAAAACATTCTGAAAAGAAAGAAAAATTGGATAGAGAAAACCTAAATGCTTTACAGATGAGCATAGTAACCAATTCAGTGCTGTAGTAATGATGAGACCATGGGGTGACTTGGAGGGAGGCCTGTGCAAGGGGCTCTGTGTGAGGCACACATCCAGTCCGACAGTCCAGATCATGATGGCTACCTTTAGGAAGTTGTCAGTGTTCAGATATTTCAGCTGTTGTAAACTTTTGAATGGCTGGGTTGTTTTTTTAAACTTAAAATTTTTATTGCTACCAAAATGTTCCAGCCACAAGAGCTGGAGGCCCACCATATGTCATTCACATCTGTCATAGAGCTTTGCCTTCCTGTTACCCTGGATCGGGCTCTTGTTTCCCATGGACTGTACCCTACTGCTATTAGCCATGTTGTCCTGCTTGCTTCCCCTTTGGGAAGAACAGGCTTAGCAGGGCTGACTTTGATCTGATGGATGAATCTCTTGTCTTCTGTGTTGGTTTTTGCTTGCGATTCCTAGTCCATGGCAGGAATAGCATGGCTTTGTATGGTATTCCTAGCATGTGGAACCTGATACAGCTAACAGTAGGCCCTGAGTAAATAATTGTGGAATGAACAGCCAACATCCATACAATATACAGTGGGAATAAAGGAGAAGGAACATATTTTAAATTGCTGGTAAACCCAGCACTTTGGAAGGTTGAAGCAGGAGGACCACTTGAGCCCAGGAGTTTGAGACCAGCCTGGGCAACAAAGTGAGACCCCCATCTCTACAAAAACAAAATTTAAATTGGCCTGGTGTGATGGTGCGCTCCTATAGCCCAGCTACCTGAAAGGCTGAGGTGGAAGCATCGCTTGAGCCCAGGAGTTTAAGGCTGTAGTGAGCTAGGCTTGCACCACTGCACTCCAGCCTGCGTGACAGAGTGAGACCCTGTCTTTACGAAAAGAAAAAAAAGAGGAAGGAGATCAGGCTGAACAATAAGGCAGGAAAATGACTAATGTTTTCTGTAAAACCATTTAGTTGTTACCCTTTTTTTTTTTTTTTTTTTTGTATTGTGGGTTGCTACCCTTTAGTGGGTCCTGAAATTAATTGGCAAGTCAAGATTAGCATTATTTTTTTAAAAAGTGAAATATAACTCCAAAACCTAAAACATAATTTATATATATATATATATAGTGAAATATATTAGACTAGAAAATATCAGATTCTACTGTGTATAGTAAGTCCTAGGTATAACCTAGTGAAACTGTTTTGATACGTGTGTGTGTATGTTGTACACGTGTATGTATGTACCGGATTGTAATATAAAAAGTATTTCAGTGGTTTGGAGTTAAAAATTTTGAATGTCACTGTATTAGGTGATGGGGTAGTCACTGAATAATTTCAGTTAGGGAAGTGATGTGATGAGACTTTAGTGTTAGAAAGATAACTCTTGGTATGTGTCTGTGGAGAATAGATGGGAACAGGTAAGGTGATCACAGTATCCTAGGTGATAGAGTAAGGCTTAGAACAGGGCAGTGGCTGATGGACTGGGTGGGAGGACCCCGATCTGTTCAGAAGGTGAGAGGGCCAGGATTTGGTAAGGGGTGTGTGAGCTGGAGAGCAGGAAGATGTCAGAGCACCAGCCCCGGCCACGGGTGTGCAGGGATGCCATTCATGTTAGTAGAATAACTGTTTACTGACACCTTTTCGGATTCACCTCTTGGTCATCTGGAGTAAACTTTTTTTCTCAGGAGAAAAGCGGCTTGGATAATATATTTTGAACTGTAACAAATCTGAGCATAGGTTTGGTTCTTCCTGGAGACATATGTCACCCTAAAGCAAGCTTCTTTAACTCATGGGCTCCATGTAGCCCAAGATGGCTTCAGATGTGTCCCAACACAGATTTGTAAACTTTCTTAAAATATTATGAGATTTATTATTATTTTTAGCTCATTAGCTGTCATTAGTATTAAGATATTTTATATGTGGCCCAAGACAATTCTTCTTCCAATGTGGTCCAGGGAAGCCAAAAGACTGGACAGCCCTGCTCTAGAGGGTGAGCTCGCTGGGCTCACCGCCTACCACCCGAGCCTGGCCAGGGTTCTGGTCAACTGTTGACTGTTCTGTCTTCTGGCTTTTTATGCCATGGAAAAACATGAAGACAGTTACTTTTAATTCCTCAAGAGGTTCCCTTTTTTCCTGCTCCCCTTTTCCCCCTTATACCTTTGTTCTGTTTTCATCCAAACCACTTGCTCTGCCTTCCTTTAAGCTGGGAAGAATACTTAAATGTTTAAAGTGCTCGTCTCTGGGGGTCAGGATTATAGGGCACCCTTTACTTTCTGCTTGTTGCTTTTCTTCATTTTCTAAATTTTTGCAGTGAAACATGTATTGTTTAAACATTTTTTTTCCGATTATAAATGAACATGTCTGTTTTAAACAATTAACAGGAATATAACAATGTATTAAGTATAATAGGAATATATCTAGTAATCTCACTCCCCAGAGGAAATTCCTGGTAGCATTTCGGAGAGTTTCTTTCTGTGCACCTAATGGTTCACACAATCACACATGATTTATGAAATGTTAACTGCCATTCTTCTGTAGATCTATAATGTGTACTTTTTTACCCTCTCAGCAAATAGCATGAGCACCTCTATGCCAGTTATATATAAGTTATAAATCATAAATCCAGAAATTTGTAGGGGCCAGGGAGGTAACATGAGCAAAGAGAGTTGGTGTAGTGTGGTAGTGATGGGTAGGCCCTGTGGTGAACTGATGAGCATGGACCTCTCATCTAAAGAGACAGCTAGTGCTTAGCTCTGGTCACTTACTTATCGCTGTGTGAGAATGCCAACATGTGGGCCTGTATTTGTTGGATCTTTTGATGTTCTAAGAGAAGCTAGAAACCTCAAATTGTTTAGTTGAATGTTTGCAGTTTTTCATAATGCCATGTAGTCCAATCTGCTCTCTGGGTTGTGGCCAGTGATGTGCCAGTTTACCACTGGGTATAGAGGCATCTCATTCCATTTGAGTAGCCTTTAAGAAAATTTAAATACATGTTATCTTCTCCTTTATTTTTTTTTGCCATTTACTCATCATTGAAGTAGTTGTGTTCATTTTCTACAATACTGGCAGATACCCTAGCTCAGAACTGAAACTTAACAATGTCTGGCAGATACCGTAGCTCAGAATTGTAACTTTATCAAGTTTTTGCAGAGATTTTTTTCTGGAGAATCTAGTGCCATTCTGTTAAATATCTTAGTAGTGCAAGACTTCCACCCAGGACCTTATAGCCAGAGGCAGCTGTTTATTCTCTTTTAACCATATAGTGAACCATTCAAAGAAGTAAAAATTGTAGAGGCTAAATGTAGATGAGAGTCATTTCATTCACTTACCAACTAACCTGTGTGTAAGGACTCAATGGCCAGGGTCAACAGATGTTTTGTCGTTGGTCCCAATAGGTATTTCCTCCACCCCATTTGGATTGCAGAATAGCAGGAGAGAGCATGAGAACAGGTTGCAAAAAGGGTCTGGTTTTTTATTTCGACCCATTAGTATGTAGGGTTGTATTAATCTCCAACAGATTTCAGTGCAGACTCATTTCTAGTTCATTGTGTTGGCATTGAGTGGTTCTTTCCTTTTCAGGTTATTTCATGGATATGTGAGAGGAAACACACACGTTAAAGGCATTACCCAGTCCTTTGCTCACATCTCTTTAGCCCTCTGAGCCTCTGTCTTCTCCTCTGTAAGACATGATTGCTGTTGCTGCCAGAGTTGTTGAGAGGATTGCATTTTAAATAAGATGACTCTGTGAAAGAAACTAGCATGTTGCTTAGTAATGTTGGTTCCCTTCTCCTCTCTTTATTATTTTTTTTCAACATGAAACTTTTATCACATTTCATTCAAATGAGCTTTACGAACATAGACGTTTCAGGTTGGAGACTGCGTATTGACTTATGAGTGGTTGTAGCATAAAGAAGTAGAGCTGTCACTTGTGGCATTAACGTGCTTTAAGCAGAAACTGATTTTTTTTTGTTTTGTTTTGTTTATGGTTTTTGACGTGTTTCTGTTTTGGTCTGACTAGGAGGAGCCTGATCTGGTTAGTGCAATTTATGGCCGAGGGATAGCCTATGGAAAGAAGGGACTACATGTGAGTATGTAATAGTTATGATTGCCATAGTGCCTACATGACCTGACACAGACCAGGGTTTTGCTAGCACTGCTACTGTTCATTGACCCTTGATGGGACATGGAGTGGTATCTGTGGTTCCAGTTCACAGATGAGAAAATGGCAGCTGGAAAGTGGTGGACTGGGGATTTCCACCCAGATCTGGGGTCAACTTTGATGAACTGGATGTAGACCAAGAAAAGCATGAGACCCTGATTGTATTCCTAAGAGACATTCAATGGTCAAAGTGTAGACTGGGTATCAGTAGTGCAGTAGGACTTAGAATTTGAGTTCCTTTCACAATTATTAAAGGTTGATGAAAGAACAAAAGGTTTCCTTAGGCGTGTAACATTTATTTTTATTTGTTATATTTTATACTTTTTGCAGATAGGTGTAATATCTTTGTAGCTATAATCAAATTATTCCCTTATTTCTCTGAGAAAGGCTGGAGGAGGACTATAATAATCATGTTTTACACGAAAAAAGGTACCATGATATAAAATTGAAAACTCCTGAAATTATGTAGTAAATCACAAAATGGTGTAAGTTCAGCTTTCCTAGTCTAGGAGATTATATGCAAACTTTAAATATTGTCCTACTGTATACTAAAAATATTTGTGTAAAATTGTGCTTTGAGAAAGAAATACTTTTGTAACTTTTACATTAAAAATATTTAAAATGTTTAACCTTTTTATTATAATTTATAAAATATTAAAATTAATATTATACTAACCTTGTGCTGGCCTATTGGAGATCTTTGTCTGTTTATATACTTCTGAGACATAGAGGACTGAGAATGAATTCGGAATTGAGAATGATGGAAATGGGTAGGAAGGAAATGACATTGCACTCAGAGCATCAGTGAATGACCAGGTTGAAGCTGCACTAGTAAAGTTCAGAGCTGCCTCTTCCTAATTCTCAGCTTTTAAAATTATAGGTTTTGATATTAAATTTGCTTGTATATTTAATAAAAAGTTACACATGCATTTTTAATGTAAAAGTAACACGCAAATGTTAAAGAGAACTTACCTAAACTTCTTAAGGTATAGATTTATAGGCTTATGTTTTTATTAGACACTGACTTGATACATTTCTGTTCCCCCATGGCCACCAGTCAGCATCATTTCACGTGCTGGTATCCATGTACTCATCCACTGAGATTCGTTGATTCCGTGTTTAAGCAGATTAAGTGTAGATAATATCCTGCCATCTGTGGAACTTGTGATAGGTAGCTGGGTCTAACGTGTTATTGTTGAGTAAGTAGGTAGACTTGAGCGAGTCAAATAATTGTAATATCATGACTGATTTGACATGGCACATCTCTTTCATAGAAGTGAAGTTCATATTTATTTCTAAAAAATTGGTTATATCATTACTAAATTACTAGTTTTCTCAGAAAATCTTTTCAGCCTGGTTTTGAGTAACAGTATGTCTCATACTAAGCTAATGCCTTTTCAAGGACATTAAGAATGCTGAGCTTGCTCTGTTCGAACTGAGCCGAGTAATTACCTTGGAACCAGATCGTCCAGAGGTATTTGAGCAGCGAGCAGAAGTGAGTGTGGTTTTCTTTTTCCCTCTGTCGTTATTGGGTTAGTCAAATCTCAATTTTTTTTCCTATTATTTTATTACTTGTAAATTTTAATGCTCCCTTAAAACTCTTATGTTTTTCTATGTAGGTATTTAATGCCTTTAAACATGGTTGAAATCACTAGAAAACTATAGACTGAGTGATATTCCTGAACTAACATAGAAGAGTAGTATTTAGTATGAAAATATGTGGTTATGATGTGTAGTACTTCTACAGATATTGATTGAAAAATATAACACATAATATTTACTGTCTATGTGACATACTTTAGCAAGACTGAGTGTTTGGTGAAACTGGAATTCACAGCCTTTGGAAGCGTTCATTCTGCTGATGTGTATGTGTGCAAGCACTTAAATATAGTTCCTATGAGATAGACCTAGCTGCATAGACACATAGATCAAATAAATATGTGTGTAAGCACCTAAATGTAATTCCTGTGAGATAGACCTAGCTGCATAGTTACATAGATCAAGTGAGGATGATTGCAGCCACATCTTAAAGGAACTTGAAGTAGAGGCAGAGAGATAACGTGGTGTAATACTGGCTCCAGTAGACAGAGGAGGCACTTCTTTAGGAAGAGAAGGGGAATGTCGGGAGTGTTTGCTGAGGCCATAGGAGGAAGTGAGGCTAGGGCTGATCCAATCCCATGGTGTGGTGGGGACATGATGGAGGAGAGTGTACAGCGCAGGGACAAGACTCTGTACAAAGGCATTCTGTTTAATGTTTTTAAGTGAAATGTGTTTATTTTACTTTCTTAAAATAAGCGATCTAGGATTCATATGTGTTAATGTATTTAGTCTGAATAAAACAACTTTTAATTATCTGATATAATCTCATAGTTGAACTAAAGGAAAAATTACTTTTTATTTTATCTTTTGAAAGAGAAAACGAGTTAAGGAAGTGCTAAGGGTGTAGGAATTTAAAAATTATATTTACGATATATTTGTTCTCAGGATTATCATGTCTTACGGTTCAGTCTCTTAAAGTGAATTTTATATTTTGTTGGAGATTTGGCTTTTTGAATAAAATCTTTCTCAGTGAATGATTTAATTTCTTACCTCTTATCTCTTTTGAATTGTAACCCTAAGGGTTGACTATAGTTTATCCCTGCATGAGACTTGCTGGTATTTAGTTGGTGTTTAGTGGCTAATTTGGTGACAGATTTGGTAATCAGCTGCTTCTGGGAGAGGGGACTGATGCTTTTTCTCCTCTATTACTTTGGTTTATGTTAAAATCTGGTAAATCATGAATTAAATTAAGTATACTTAGGTAAGAATTATATAAAAGGACTTTAAAATTTGCATATCTAATAAAAAGCTAATTGTTTATCCAAAATGGCATTGGTAATTAGAAAAATAATTTTTAATTGTCTTTAAAATGTCTAATAATATTCTCATTTTCTGGCATTATTGGGCAATAATGTACTACATACTGAATTTTCCTGCTAAATTATAACATACCATTTATATATGTCAGAAGTCATTTTATGAGAACTCTTTCACTTTCATGCTTTCTGAAATACTGAATATTTGATGAACATAAGTTAACTTTTTAAAGTTACTAATTATTATGCATATTGATTGTTGTACTGGGGTATGATGATTCAATTATACACCTAGGGGTCGATAACCCAGGGAGGGATGATTTTCCTTCCAAAATACAACCCCAGCCTACTGTGCTTTTTGAATTCTCAGACATGTATTCAATTTCTTTCCTCTTTCCGGGCTGTCATGCTTACTATTAGTGATGGGCCTGCCTCAATCCTCTCTCTTGCTGGTTTTATAGTTCTGTAGAGTAGGAAATCAGTAAAATTTGGTAGAAATAACCTGTATAATAAGGACAGAATAGGTTGGGCATGATGGCTTATGCCTGTAATCCCAAAATTTGGGGAGGCTAACACAGGAGGATTGCTTGAGGCCAGGAGTTCAACACTAGCCTGGTCAATGTAGTAAGACCCCCTACCTCTGCAGAAAATTTTAAAAAATAAATTAGCAGTATGATGGCATAACCCTGTAGCCCAAACTACTCAAGAGGCTGAGGCAGGAGGATTGCATGAGCCCAGGAGTTCAAGGTTACAGTGAGCCATGATTGTGCTACCACATTCCAGCTTGGGTGACAGAGTGAGACCCTGTCTCTAAAACAACAACAAAGTAGTCCCTAATTTAAGGACGTTTATTCAGGATAAAGTGCTTGGGCTTGATTGCATGAATACTGATACCCATTTTGGATTTTCTTAGGTCTTTTTGGTTTACGTTTGCATTCTGAACTGTCTTCTGTATTTTCACGTTGCCTGAATACAACTGATTGCTGGCTCTAAAGAGCTTTTCCAAACAGGCTTGCAGATATTTTTCCTCCTTCTCTGTAGATCATGACTCATGAGTTAAAAGTTGTTACACAAAAGGGCTTAAAGAGCATCTGGAATCTTAGAAGTTGTCATTCAGCTCTTCTTACATAGAGAACAGAGCTAAAGACCATGGAGGACTTTAATCTGTATCCAATAATTTGTCTATTTTAATGGTTCAAAATTATCTTTCAGGTTAATTTTAACGTCTTTGTGTATATATGCCAAATTTTGATTTAACAGATGAAGTCAAGAAAAAAAAATCATATTACAAGAAAAGCAACATGTGGCATAACCCAGAATGTGAAATAGTGACACGGCAGTTGCTGCCGTCATAGTTCATCAGCCTCCTGCTTGACTGGACAAAGATTAGTGGCACCTCAGCTGGTTGACTTTGAACCCCATTGCATAGTATATGGGGTCAAGGATTGCAGCCTGCTGAGAGTAATTTTGTGAGTGGAGTATGGTGAAGTGGAATTGAAGAGTCAAAAACATTGGGATTTTAGGGTTGATCACTGGTATTTTTCCTGATTACATGTTTGGGATTTCTAGATTCTGTCCCCTCTGGGACGAATTAATGAAGCAGTGAATGACCTCACTAAAGCTATTCAACTGCAGCCCTCAGCACGGCTGTACAGACATCGGGGAACCCTGTACTTCATATCAGAGGTGACTTATTTTTGTCTTGAAGTATTTCTTTTCATGATGATGAAGATTTCATTTTTCCCTGGACCCCAGAAAGCGACTCTTTGATAGATTTGGGCTTTGGCCGTTTAGTAATATGTCTGTGTCCTAAGAGTTATACAAGCATTTTCTGTAGCTGAAATTAAACATTAAGTGGAGAACATTACGTGCTAAAAACACATTTTCTTGTTTGAGCTGTCAGCAATAACTAATTCTGGACTGGCATTTAAAAAAAGAAAGAGAAAGAGAAATTTAGCTTGTGGATTGTATGTCTGTCTTTCTTGTAAATGCCATCATAGGCAAGCAGGTGTACATGTTGTCAGTGTGATTATTAAACTTAGAGGTACAATTTGAATTTCTTTGGGTTTCACAACCCAAGAACCATACCCTGAACTAGCATGGCTTTCCAGACTGTTGCTTCTCTATGTAAGTGACCCAAGCCTCACAAGATTGTCTTTTATCATCAGAGTGGCTTTAGTATATGGGATCAAGGATTGCAGCCTGCTGTGAGTAATTTTGTGAATAGAGTATGGTTTATTTAAAGTACGATAAGCCACACAATTATTTCTGCAGCTTATCGTACTTTAAAAAACAATTTTCTGTGCAAAAGAAAATATATTAGAAGAGTCAGCATAACACATTTTAATGTTAATCTGCGGCATAATTATTTTGGAAATATCTAGTATGATAAAACGCTAGTCCCAGAAGTTTCTCTAACAGATTATTTCTTCAACAGTATTTGAGATAAATTTTTTTGCAGTTGAGATAGAGTGCTTAAATTTAAACCTTTGTGAGTTTTTCTCACAATCACTTTTCTCAGAAAACTCCAACTATTTGAATGAGTAGTATAAGCATTTAACTAATATATATTGTCATGAAATGTTTCCTTTAAAGCCCAAAAGGGCAGAGGATGAATTGAGATTTTTTTCTCTACCAGTCAAAAATTAGGAAATGTTCACGTATCTAATGAATACTATTTTATTTTTTCCTCCACTCTCCTTCTTGTAGGACTATGCAACAGCCCATGAAGACTTTCAGCAGTCCTTAGAACTGAACAAAAACCAGCCTATAGCTATGCTATACAAAGGTTTAACTTTCTTTCACAGAGGACTTCTGAAGGTGAAAGTGTTGTGCATATGTGTACCATATGATGACTCTGCTTCTCTTTTGTGGGTGGGAGGAGTTTCATTTGACTGATGGCTGGTCTGATGTAGAAGGTAGTCTGAATCAGCATGTTTATTATTTATTGAACTCCTACTATTTGCTGGGTTCCTGGAGACAGATACAGAAAGGGAAAGGCTCAAAGGTTAATAAGTGGGAGGAATGATACTTTACCTTTATAGAGGATACAGTTTGCAAACCTTTTTCTACGTATAATTTATCATATGCTAAACATACTCAGGAATCTAATATAAACAAAGTGTTTTGAAAATGGAGATTAGAAAGATTCGTTGGGACTGCAGAGTTAGAGAAAGTTCCAAAGAACAGGTGAACTTTGTCCTGGACCTGCAAGTCTGAGTAGGATTAGGTGTTAGAGGTGGGGGAAGAAAAGCCCTTCAGGCAGAGAGGAAAGCCTAGGTAGAGGGAAACAGGAAAGCTATCTGAACTGACTGAAAGTATGGGCAGAAATGTGGCCTCCAGCCCAGCCCTTCCTCCTGCCCGGGCACTCGATTCCATGTTCTGAGTCTGTGTGGGGAACCCACTGTGAGAAGGCTTGTGCCAGGAGCCGGGGGCCTGGAACCTGACGGGCAGCTGCCTCTCTCACCTGGGCCTGCTCTGTGCCTCCCAAGGCCAGGCACACAGTAGGTGCTCTCACACAGGACACATCCAAGCTATCTGATGGAAGACAGATGGGCCTGAGAACAAAATAGTCAGCCTGCACAGCCAAAAAGCAGTTCGTTTTGATAGGAGCCCCAGAAGGTGGTACTTAACAAGAACTTTGAAGGCTGTGAAGAAATTGAGTAGCATGTGGCAGGGATGTGTATTCTGACAGAAAGAACAGACATTTTATTACTGAAAGTGGTTTGAGGATCTGACATACATATATTTGGGTTGTGGGGAGACTGCTTACCTGTGAAAAGGCCGCACATTGCAAACCCTTAGTGTTAAGAACAGTGCCTGTCACATAGTAGGTGCTCAATATGTATTAGTGGAAAAATGAATTTCAAGGACAGGGCATTGAAGTTGGTGTTTAAAGCCCTTGGTTTGAGCTCTTGCTCCAAGCTCTATGAACAGTCAGTTTCTCCTTCCATGTCTATGAAGTGGAAATAATTCTACTTTTTGCCTCTTGGAGTGATCATGAGGATTCAATAAAATGCTTTATGTGAAAAGTACTTTGTAAACTGGAAACAGGAATCCAGTATTAATTATTATAGGTTCTTTTATCTGTGAAAATTTAAAATTTTAGTTTTCTAAAAGAAAAGTCCCCCATTCCACTAAAAACCAAACCAAAAGGAATTTTGCAGATTCTCTTTCATAAACCTCACATTCCTTTTGGAAGTATGTGGAGGGTACCCCTAATGAAGACCTCTCTCTCCCCTCAGGATTCAGACTGGTAGCTGTAGTCTTTGAGAGCAATTTATTGAAACATGCTTTGAGCAGCTGACAGATGGACTTCTCCAGTTTAGTTTGTATCTGCCCTCCGTTCTTCTCGTCATCTCTGACAGTCACCTTAAATTAAAAAAAATTCTGAACCTCAGTACTCTACTCGAATTATATCTCTAGGATATCTCATGGAGGAGGAAAAGATTAGAAATACAAAAAATACCAACCTATTTGTATTAAGAGGTTGAAAATATTTCTAAAAGTAAACAAATGCAAACAAATGATTTTGCTTTTAACATTGTTACTATAAAGCCAGATTTAGGAACATGGACAGGGCTCTTTGGGGTATTTGAAAATGAAAATTTTTCAGAAAAAAGAAAGTAGGAAGTGCACAAGAACTGCAATTCAGTTTGATTTCCTTTAGATCTGCATGATAAGAAGCCAGAAACAGTGCTTTCATTTTGAGCATTAGAAGCCCCTCAGCAAACTAGTCTTACCAAGTTATTTGGCCCTCTGTCCTTTTCACCATGCTCAAAATCACAGCCTCAGCATAATAGATGGAAACTCTTTCTTATAATAGATGGGAACTCTTTCTTACAGATCCTCTGTCTGAGGAGGTTAAAGTGGTTACTTACCTCATTCATCCAGCGGTGTCCCCATGAGGTATAGAAGTGGAGGGTATCCCTGTTACACAGATTGGAAAATTGAGTTGGTAGTGAAATGGCTGAATTAATAAATGAACTTTGTCCAGATTTTCCTGTTTCTCTTGTTAACCATAGAGACAAGTATTAAATGGACCAATGAGTTTGAGCTATCCTTGTATCCTGAAAGTGTTCTTTCTTGGCCAACAGCAGTTTAGAAATTAATTAAGTGGGTGATTGCTTATTTACTTTCTGATGTAATATGTTGGAAGTATATTAGGCAATGTTACATTACAAATTTCACAACTATCCAATTCAGGGGTTATAGCAGGCATTTTGTATCTTCCTAGGGAAACAACAACAAAAACTTTTCTGTTGAATCCCATCATTTTATCTATGTTGTAAGGGCTATTTCATAAACCATGTGTCCTGAGCACCTGTTTTTACCAGCCTTCACTTTGAGAGTTACCTGAGAGTGTTCTCTTAGTTATAAGGAACAGCCCTAGGGTGGTGGTTGTCCATCCACTAGTAAGAAAGATGGGGACTGAAAGTGGTGGGATGGCATTTGCCAAGCAAATTAATTCAGAGCCAGTTCATATGCTTAGAGATTGATTCATTCAAACGTAGTTTCTTTGTTCCCAACGCCTTAAAATCTTGATTCTACTATGTCCCCTCTTTGGCAGAATGAGGTAGAAAGCTGTGCAGTGATTAGACAGGAACCCTGAAACCAAAGACTCTTAAAAGCTGAAGAGAAATCAGACTTTGAAGAACTGTGGCGTCCAAGCATGCTGTAAGTGGAGTGGGCAGCCCCCTGGGCGTCTCCACCTAGCTGTCCACAAGCACTCCAGCCTTAACACGCCCGATGGGCTCGTTATCCCCTCCTGCCCCACCCCACCCCCACCTGCAGCTGCCCTTTCTCCTGTACCTCCTTACTTGGTTAATGCTCTTGCCACCCACCCAGGCTGTTCAGCTTAAAAGCTTCCTACCCTTTCTTTTCCCTCATCTCCCTCCCATACCCAGGCAGCCACCAAATTCTGTTGTAGTTTGCCATTCAAAATGTCTCCTGAGGTGCCCTTCTTGTCTCTCCTCAGAGACACTTTCTCAGTTTGAGCTTTCATTATCTCTTGCTCCAACTACTGCAGCAGCTCCCTAAGGGGGCTCCCTGTCTCCATTCTCTTCCCTCCCTGGTCTGTCTTTGTTACTGCTAGTAGTAACCATCTCTAAAAAGTATATTTCCTGAGGTCATGCACCTATGCGAAGCCCCTTAGTCCTCACTGCCTGCACAGTGTGGCCCGGAGGCCGTTCTTTTCCTGGTCCAGCTTCCCATATTAGCCTGGTCTCCTATCTTTTCCTTCTCCCTTGTACCAACCCATGCACCCTGCACTCCTGCCTCACTAAATTTCCCGTTTCTATGATCTGTGCCACTATACAGTACTATTTGCCCTCTGCAAAGTACCCTCTTTCTTTACTAAATTCCTTTTCATTCTCCAAGACCCAACTCAGTTGTCACCTCCTCCCTGAAGCCTGTTCTGTTACCCTAGGCTCAGTTAGTGGTTTCTTTCTCTTCATTCCCAGAGACTTACATCTCTATTGTAGCTCTTAATTTGTATTCCAGTAACCTGGTGACACAATTGGCTTTCTAACTAGACTCCATTCTTAGAGGACAGAGATAATGACTGGCTCATCCTTGCCTCCCTGCACCTCACACTGTCTGGCACATAGTAGGCACTCAATGCATGTTTACTGAATTTAAGAATGTAGTGGTAAAATCTTAAAAGATCGAGGTTACACCATGGCCAGAAGCCTAACTAAAAGTGATCTTTAACATTTCTTAAATGTTAAAGTTTATCCATTCTCATCTTTCTACCTAACAGTAGATATTCAGCAGGAGTCCTTAATTGGTAGATTGTTGTCCCGTTGTTACCTTTGAGGAGTCTGCACACCAGCCTCTCTTATCCTGCTGTCTCCCTTCCAGAGAAAATCAAGGTGCAGGGAATGAATGCCTTTTTGAAAAGAGTTAGGATTGTACTGCTTTTACAAAACAATTTTGTGTGACTTACCAAATCATTAAATATTTATTGAGTGCCTACCATGTGCAGGGTATGTGACATCTTCAGTAGTTTTCTTCTATGAATTATCTAATCAGGTGTAAAATTATCTAAAGTCAAGTCTTTTGCATTAAAGCTGTTAGAGATCATGAATGCTTTATAGCAGGTAGCTTTAGTAAGATAGGTATTTTCCTTAGGAAAAGCATTAGTAAGCTATGTCTTTATACTTTTTTTATTACATTGTATAAGTCACAGTGAAAAGTACATTTAATGCTGGTTTAAGCCTAGGTTGTTTCTACTTAAATATAATCATACATTTTATTAGTAGTTTTCCTAGATGTAGAGGGAGTTAGGCGGTAGCCAAGTACCCCATGCATTTCCAAGGATAGCTTCCCAAAGCATAGTGCCTGTGTAGCGCTTCTCACTTCCTTAGCTACGGACTTGGTGTTAGGCTTACGGAAGCCAACTCCAAACACCTCCAGCTTAAGGTTTTTGTTTTATTTTGTTTTACGTTTTCCTCTTTCTGTGTAGATCGTGGGAATCCTTCAGATGGCGAATCTAGGAGCCTTTTTGCTTGTTTTAGAAACAATTTCACACTGGGGTTTCTTTTTTGTCTCTCATTGGTTCAATTTTAAGTGTTGCTAGTTATGATCACTTTGAATTATTTCACATAGTGGTTAGGCTTACTTTTTGTCCTAGGGCCTTTATTAATTAAGGATATTTTATTAATAATATGAAGGTGAAATGATTAGTATTCAAAGTTTTAATGAAATAGCAGGTAATAAAGTAGATAAAATGGAAAGCTGATTTCTCATTGTAAAGGGGAGAAATTTAAGGCTCTCATTTTTCATAGTACTGCATTTGTTTACTGAAATTAAATCCTTCTGACTTATAGTTTATTGCATTTTCTGCCTCTCTTCTTTAAAAGCCCTCCTATTTAAAATAAAACTGTCAGAGACTATGTAGGATATATATTTAAATCCTTTTATGATTTGAGTGAAACTCAATTTTAACAGTTATGCAAATGAAATAATGTTCTGTACACTTTTTACAGGAAGCTATTGAATCCTTCAAAGAAGCTTTGAAGCAGAAAGTTGATTTTATTGATGCATATAAAAGTCTAGGACAGGCCTATAGGTGAGTAAAATAATGGTAGTTGGGGTAGGAGGGAGGGTGAAGAGTGGGGAGACAAAATAGCTTCACATAATATTTTAAAAGAAATAGTATTTCTTAACCAAAGGAGATGGGTATTTTGAGTTGCGCACGTGTGTATAGACTTGTTGATATTTTCTCTGAAATGTAGAAAAACCCGTATCACAGGATGTCATGATGCACAGTGTTCTCTCTTAACCTCAGTGTGTGTATCGGTCTAGAAAATGTTCATCCTTCAAGGGCTGTTGTTTTCAACAGTGGCATTATAAGCTATTGGGGTATAGATGCTGCTGCCGCTATTTTCTTGACAGTAACTAAGGTAAAGGTAAATTTCCTATGATCTCTTTGAAGAGTCCTAGAATGAAGGGATGGAAAAGTTGTGATTATAATGTGTGTCTGTTGAGAATGAGAAGCCGTAACTAGAATTTGGCTTCCTGACCGCATGCACTGACCTGAATAGAGCTATTGTGACTTTGGGGTTTAAAAAGAAAAAAAAAAAAAGTCAGTCAGGCCCGGTGGCTCATGCCTGTAATCCCAACAGTTTAGGAAGTTGAGACAGGCGGATCACTCGAGGTCAGGTGTTCGAGACTAGCTTGGCCAACATGGTGAAACCTCGTCTCTACTAAAAATACAAAAATTAGCCGAGCATGGTGGTGGGTGCCTGTAATCCCAGCTACTCGGGAGACTGAGGCAGGAGAATTGGTTAAACCTGGAAGGCAGAGGTTGTAGTGAGTCAAGATTGCACCACTACACTTCAGCTTGGGCGACAGAGTGAGACTCCATCTCAAAAAGAAAATTATACTGTGTTATGAAAAGGAGGTAAGATGGCATGAGTAAAGGAGCTCATGACTTAGTTCTGCCTTGGTCATTTTACAGGTGTGAGTGCTTAACTTCCCTGAGCTTCTGGCTTCTCACTTGTAACAGTGCTACAAAAGCTAGAAAAGAAAGATAGCGACAGAAAGTCCCTTTGTTAGGTACCTTATTCAGGAAGGATTAAATTCAAGAGCTTATTTGTCAGATAGTTTGAGAAGCTCTTATACTGAGTTGGAAAAAGTGTGTTTGGATTTGTTTGGGGTTTCAGGGATGATATTCATGCTTCCTGTCTCATCAAATTATTGAACAGAAATTTCAAACAGATTTGAAAGCACCTTGTAAAGTGCTGTATGAACATAAGCAGAAATTATATTTTTTAAAATATTCATCATTTACAGAGAATTGATGTATAGAACATTTTGAGGTTACTTCTATTCTTTGTAATATATAAAAGAATGATCAGCCAGGTGCCTGTGGCATGTGCCTGTGGTCCCAGCTTCTCAGAAGGTGAAGTGGGAGCATTGCCTGAGCCCAGAAGGCTGATTTCAGTCTGAGCAATGCAGTGAGACCTGGTTTCTAAACAAATTTAAAAAGCAAATAAAAAGCAGGCTGATCCATAACAACCATTTCCATTCTGGAATGGTTCCAATTCTAAAATACACTTCTTTTTTTCAGAATTCTAAATTACATAATGATTTACTAGATTTTAAGTGAAGTACCTTCGATGACAAAAAAGGTGCGTTTTTAAGTCTGTGAATTTGATTGAGAATGTTGAAACCGTGTATGATAATAATTGACATACTTGTTTCCAAAAAGGAAAACTATGTTTTTATCCATATACTAAAATTTACACACGATTTTTTAAGGTTTGGAACTCATGATGAATAATCAGGGAGAGGGGTTTGAATAAGCATTTGCCTTTGGAAATCAGGAGATGAATTTTCCTCACAGAATTTCAAGAGCTCTGTGGTTATCCTATAAGCTGCTAAGATTTAGAAGTAAGTGGACTGTAATGTGTCAGAGGCTATAAAAAAGTAGCAAAAGGAACACCCCCATCAAGGTATCTTGTTTACCTATTGGTCCATAATTCCAAGGATAGCTTATTCTGTGTGTTTCCTGTAATGTTTATACTGTTTTCATAACTGTTACTAAATACCTAGAGAACTGGGCAATTTTGAAGCAGCCACAGAGAGCTTTCAAAAGGCATTGTTGCTCAACCAAAATCATGTGCAAACCCTCCAGCTCCGGGGAATGATGCTCTACCACCACGGCAGCTTACAGGAAGCCCTTAAGAACTTTAAGGTAAGCATCCATAAATAAGAACACTGTAATTGGAGTTCTTGAATTACTCTTCAGTGACGTTCAGTGAAATGAACAGAGAAGGGGGACTGAGAATAGTGTTTATACTCCAACAAAAAGAAAAAGAAGACATCATTGCCCTTGTCCTGTAGACTGGTTTACAGGTCTGATTTACCTGGAGGGAAAACTAATTCCAGAGTAAAGAATAAAGCATTTCAAAGTTTTTCTAAACGGTATGAATATTAATGCAGCATTTTGTCCTCAGCGATGTCTGCAGCTAGAGCCATATAATGAAGTGTGCCAGTACATGAAAGGCCTCAGCCATGTTGCCATGGGACAGTTTTATGAAGGGATAAAAGCACAAACGAAAGTTATGCTGAATGATCCTCTCCCAGGCCAGAAGGCCAGCCCTGAGTATCTTAAAGTGAAGTATCTCCGAGGTAAGTCAGAAAATCACAGAACTGTTGCATGTTCATGCTCAAAACTGTAGAAATCTTATTGCTTGACTCTTTTATGTTCCATATGAAACAGGGGAGTCTGAAAGAGGGTATATGACTTGTCCACAACCACACCTTGTCAGTGCTAGTGCAGAGACTAGATGTTTCTGTCTTCGAGAGACCAGCCAAATGCGTTTTCTACCACTTTTAAAATTTTTACTTTCTAAAGTTAAAACATTTTTTACTTAAGTCAGAAAACCATATTTTGAACTAAATGTGACAAAAGCATCTGGAGTATTTGTGTCTAATCACATCTCATCCAAGAATACCGAAAGGGCAGGAAGCTGACATTCTGTGAGGTTCTTACTGTTAAATGTGAACTTGGTGTCTTTGACTTGTCATTCCTTCATGTCAAAATTCTCATATATTTTGGAGAAATATGAGGTGAAGAAGAAAGCAAATCTTGCAGTTACCCTTTTATTAGCTGTAGTTTTACTTACCTATCTCCTGTCTCTGAAAGACTTTTTTTTTTTATTTATTAATGCCCACATTTTCCTTTGTTATTGTGAGCCCTTTATACTGTGACCGTCCAAAAGAAAAAAAAGTGAAAAGCTGTGTGTGTAATTTTAAATTTGTAGTAGCCACATTAAAAAAGTGAAAAACAAAGAAGTGAATTTTAATAACATATAATTTTAAATTCAGTATAACCAAAATATCAGTTCAATATATAATATAATTAATATGAAAGTGCTATTCATTAGCTACTTTACATTTTTTTTTGTATTAAGTCTTTGAAATCTGGTGTATATTTTATGTTATAGTACATCTCAATTTGGATGTTAAGCTTTCATTAGAAATACTTGATCTGAATTTAGAAATTATAATATTTAGAGTTGAAAAAGTAGGTTCATGTGTGCAAGTTGTTCCAAACATACTGAAGTTTTCTAATGATTGAATCAAGTATCAGTTTGTAAGTTTAAATTAATTCAAATTAAATAAAATTTAAAATTCAGTTTTAATCACCCTAACCTCATTAAGTATCCAGGAGCCAGCTGGCTAAGGGCTACCTATTAGATAGCATCTTTCTTTACCCTAAATTACAATTTCCTTTTTTCCTGGTTCAGTAGAACTTGGACTTGTGAATTATAGACAGAAGGGGCAGGTACTCTGTACTTTGGGTTTTTTCCTGCACTGCTTCCATAGAGTCGGCAGCAGTCTATCAATCGGTTGGTGAAATCATATGCCCAATTAATCTATATACCAGTTGACAGAGTACCAGGCTCTATCTGATGCTGTTCTTGGATTCTCAAGCTCTGGAATTGAAAACAATGAGATTTTTGGTGATATTCCTGGAAAGGTGATTAAAAGTTAGCCAAAGTAGACCCAGACTGACTGATTTACATTTGACCTTGTTATCTCAAGTCAGTGGCAGGTTACCTGTATCATATACTAATCATGACTTAACAAATTTAGAAACTCCTTTTAGAATTATAATTAAATAACAGCTTGTTACAAAATATTTGTATGGCAGCTAGCCGTAAGAAAGTTTCTTTAGCAGTATTTAGATATATCAGATCTTATTTTCTTTCTGCAGAATATTCTCGATATCTTCATGCACACCTTGATACCCCACTTACGGAATATAACATTGATGTGGATCTGCCTGGAAGCTTTAAGGATCATTGGGCTAAAAATCTGCCTTTCCTCATAGAAGACTACGAAGAGCAGCCAGGATTGCAACCCCACATAAAGTAAGTGCTTTAATTGAATATGATTTTTTTTTCTCTCTCAAAACTGAGCTATAAGCTGGGCATGGTGGCACACTACTCCCTGCTACTTGCAAGGGATGAGATCAGAGAATTGCCTGAGCCTAGGAGTTCAATCAAGCATGCTAACCTTGTGCTTGTGAATAACCATCCATTCATTGCACCACAGCAACATAGCAAAGACCCCATCTCTAAAAACAAAACAAAACAAAACAAAAAACACCTATAGCAAACATCATTTTAACTAATGAAGTGTTAGCTACATTAACATTGCCATTTGGAGTCAAACAAAAAAACCCAGAATCATTGCTTCTCTGTAACAGTAAACTAGAAGTCCTAGACAGTGCACAGAGAGAAGAAAAAGAAATCAGTGATATGGATTAGAAAGGAAAATAGAAAGCTGTCACTGTTGGCAGATCACATAATTTTCTGCAAAGGAAATGATGAGAGTTTAGCAAGGTCATTGTTTTTAATCAATATACAAGAATCAGTTGCATTTCTATATATGAATAACAAAAATATCATTTATAATAGTAACAAATACTTAGAAATAAATCTTGCAAAATATGTATAAAACCTGCATGGAGATAACAAAACTTAATTATAAACTTATAAAGTTCCTGAGATAAAACAAATAAATGGTGAGAAATACTATGTTTAGGGATTGGAAGTTCGATGATAATAATAGGCCATTTCTCTGCAAATTAATTATAGATTTAATAAAATGCCATTCAAAATCCTAAGTTTTTTTGAGGAACTTGTTGAGCAAATTCTGTAAATTCTATGGAAGAACAAAGGACCAAGAATAATCAAGATACTCCCAAAGAAGAGGATGCCCAAGTTTGAGGGGAAGGTTCCCATCCTACCAAATAGCAAAACTTAATATAGTAATGAGCAGAATGGTGTTGGTGCAGGGATAGACAAGTGGACTAAAGGAAGAGAATAGGTGGCTTAGATAATTGTAAAGCTGTGTTATAGATCAGAGTGGGACTGGTCAAGATGTGGGGATGGGCCGATTAGCTTATTTTATGGATAAAATACATTTGATATTTGTGATGGCATAGTAATCCATTTCCAAATGGATGAAAATCTGAAATGTGAATGGCAAAGTATTTTAAACTTTGGGTGGAATTATAAATGAAAATGTTTATGACTTTGGGGTATAGAAGGATTTCATAAGAAGCACAAAGCTTAGATCTGAAACAAAAAGATTGATAAATTGGACTACATTGAACCTAAGAACTTCTGTTCAACAAATGACACCATAAGAAAAGAAAAATAAGCCCAAATTGGGGAAAGATACTTGCAAACTTACAAAATTGACCAAATTATGTAATTTGACCATTCAGAAGAATGGATAAATGAGATACAGTCACACAATGGGATATTATACAGCAGTATAAACAAATGACCCAGGCAACAATGTGGATTAGTGTCCAAATTTGTGAAGTATCACTACAAATTAAAAAGTAAGAGCCAACCAATAGAAAAGCGTGCAAAAGATAAGAACAGGTAATTTTACCATGGGGAAAACATGAATGACAACCATGAAGAGATACTTCAGTTCATAAATTAAAGCCTCATGAGATTTTTTTCAGCCACTAGATCAGCAAATATTACATTATAGTAATATTGGTCAGAAGGGAGATTATGGAGAACTCGTACACTCCTGGTGAGAGTATAAGTGGCTGTAACCACTTTGGAAAGCAGTTTGTCATTATCTAGTAAAGTTGGATATTCTAATACTTAATATGAGATTTTGTTCTGTGTCTATTCAGATAACTTTGTACTTGTGCACATCTATAAGGAGAGACTTGTACAAGTCTGCTAGCCGTATTTGTTCACAGCTAACACTGGAAATCAACCCAAATGTCCATCAACAGAAGAATGGATAAATGTGATACAGTCACACAGTGGAATATTATACAGCAGTATAAACAAATTACCCAGGCAACAATGTGAATTAATTTTAAAATGTAATGTTGAATAAAATCAGCAAGTCAGTAGGCTGTGCTGTCACGTCATTTTTTTCTCCCAAAACTCATAAACAAAACTGTAGAGTATATTGTTTAGGGATATTTATATGTCACAAACCTATTTTTTTAAAATGTAAGGGAATCAGGAGCACAAATTCCAAGATAAGTGATCACTGGCTGGGATACAGAAGGATGGGATAGGAAAGTAGCAGGCAAGTAGATATAACTGCACTTAATCGCTCTAGTTTTTTTTTTTTTTTTTTTTTTTTTTTTTAAGACAGAGTCTTGCTCTGTTGTCCAGACTAGAGTGCAGTGGAGTAATCTCAGCTCACTGCAACCTCCGCCTCCCAGATTGAAGCAGTTCTCCTGCCTCAGCCTCCTGAGTAGCTGGGATTACAGGCACCCACCACCACACCTAACTAATTTTTATATTTTTAGTAGAGATGGGGTTTCACTGTGTTGGCCAGGCTGGTCTCAAACTCCTGACCTAGTGATCTGCCTGGTAATTTGACTTTGTGTTTTCTGTGTGTCTCAACTATTACATGATCAAAAATAATGAAAAGAAAATTGATTGTTCATAGAGGTTATGTATGTTCTCTAACCATTCCTTTTTTGAGAAATATTTCTATGCACAAAAGAGTTAACGTAGCAGATCTGTGACTGCTGTCCTTAGAAAGGACGACTTGCAAGAGTGACCCTTGGTTGGTATCTGGGAACTTGGATTTCAAGGGGATTCCTACCACTCCCAGAACTAATAGGAGTGGTTCCCTGTGCCTAAACTATTTGTTCAAACAGTGTGGTTTCTGTTGAACACTTGCTTTCCTTCTAGGTACCTGGAATTTGGGAACTTGCCTGGCAGAAGATGCCTAGAAAGAGCCCCCAGTAGAATCTTTGGGCACTGAGTCATGAGCTTTCATGGTTGGCAGCATTTTACATATGTGTTCACAACTAATTGCTGGGAGAATTGAATGTGTCATATACGACTTCCTTGGGAGAGGACCCTTGGAAGTTTGCGCCTCGTTTCCTCTAGACTTCTCCCAATGCGTCTCTTCCCTCTGCTGGTTTTGTTTTGTCTCCTTTTGCTGTAATAAATCACAAATGGAGACAAAACAAAAAACGATACTCACTGTTGTGAGTATCATTATGTGCTAAGTCCACTGAGCCCTCCCAGCCAATTTCTGAGCCTGAGTGAGGATAGTCTTGGAGATCCCCAGAACAACCTATAATTTAGAGTGTCATTCTTTGTTATAAAAACATCAAGCCAGTTGGCAGCTAAACAATAGTCTTTCCATGTACCATTCCATGTATACTTGTTCCAGTACAACTTGGGCAGGGGTGAGGAATGGAAAAAGGGCAGAGGTTTGGTTGCTTGTTGAAAAGGGCAGTCCATTCAGGTATGTATTCTGGAGAAGTTTAGAAAGCAAATAATGGAAAGTGGTGTCTTCAGAATGGCGCACTAGTTATTACAGTTACCACTGTTACTAACCAGCATGTGATAGCAATTACGCACATGCTGTCACAAAAATTCCCTTTTAAATTAGGGTATGGTTGAGCACAAAGCACTGTGGTTGTAGACTGCTTCATTAGTTTTCCAGTGGAGGAAGTGACTGCTTTGCAGGTAGAATTGGATTACCAAATGTCTGTTGTAAAAGTCCTTATCATGTATATGATGTTTCTTCCAGAGATGTGTTACATCAGAATTTTGAGAGTTATAAGCCTGAAGTACAGGAGCTGATTTGTGTGGCTGATCGTTTGGGATCCCTGATGCAATATGAAACACCTGGTTTCCTGCCAAATAAGAGAATACACAGAGGTATTCTGGAAGCTATCTGAAAATGAAAATATTCCTGGCATAAGAGCAAGGGTGGTTAAGCCATGTTGTGCTTTTTAAAAAATTAGTATTTATTGTGGTTATTCAAATCTCCATGTGATCAAAGCAGAAATGTGTAGCATCACTGAAACTGAATTCTGAGAGAAGACTGCTTCCATCCTTGGCTTCTTTGCTATTGCTGTAGTATAGACTAGAGTATAGGTCTTAAGTCCTTATTCGAAATCAGACAGCTGATCCAGGGAGCTATTATTTCCTTACCATAGGAATGAGGAAGAATGCAAACCTCCACTTGCTTCAGTAGGAGGCAGAGTTGGGAGCAGACAACTCGAGTTGTCTCTAGTTCCCTCTGACGGGTTTTAATTTTAGTCGGACCATCATGACTGAAACACGCCTTGGGTCTTGTTACAGCACCAACACGTCTGACCCTTTATATGTTAACTCGAGTTATCACTGAGACTCTGTAAAGTGGGTGGAACTCAGTCCCTCTAAAGTGTACTAACTGTCTTCTCGATATTCATTTCCCATAGCTATGGGTTTGGCCGCACTGGAGGTCATGCAAGCCGTGCAGCGTACATGGACTAACTCGAAAGTTCGAATGAATGGGAAGACACGGTTGATGCAGTGGAGAGACATGTTTGACATTGCAGTTAAGTGGAGAAGGTATCTAGCATTTCAGTGAAAATAAACTCTAAGTCTTATCATTGTCAAATAAGGTCAGTCTGTTTTAGCTAACAAGCTATAAACCCTGTTTTGTTTGCTAACACCAGGCCTTCTAAGTTAGGTTTTTCTCTCTAAAGTTTGTCTGAAATTGCTGGCATCTTTATTCTTTGACATACACTTAACTAATATTTTCTAAACAGGAGTTGATTGTTGTTATATTTCCAATCACCTGTTTAAATGAAGCATTTTAGAAACAGTCTCTTTGAAAGAACAGATCTATTACCTGTGGTACCTTTGAATGAACTTCACTGGACCAGTCCCTTTATAGTTAATGATGTGCCTGGCAACTAGCTAGTTTAGAGGAACATTGGATCTTCATTTGCATGAGAAAAAATATACTCTGCTCCTAAACCTTTACCTTTACCTGGCTTTTCACCTGGTCTAGCTGGAATTTATAGGTTTGGATATCTTATTTTTAGATATAATGGACTAGCTGTTGCTTTATCCCCACCTTTGCAAACACCTCTGCATGTTTTATTTGGAATGCTTCTGAACACTTCTAGGTTTCATAAAGGTCTCTGTGTTATAGGATTGCTGACCCAGACCAGCCTGTGCTGTGGTTAGATCAAATGCCAGCACGAAGTCTTAGCAGAGGTTTTAACAACCACATCAATTTAATCAGGTACAAATCTTTTGTTCATCTTTCTTGTTTTCCTAGGAGTTTATTCTCAAGACACAGGGCACGGAGACTAGGATTGACTCATTGCTTCTTTCCTGGTGACATTTTGACTGGGAAACATACCGATTGACTCTGCACCTGTGGAGTCCTGCCTGCGTTCCTTTCCTCTCTCCCAGCTGCAGAAAGAAACGTAGCACGTGCCATGCTCCTTCCCTAGGCCCTTCTGTCTGGTGTAGAGCACAGCCGAAGGGTAGAGTGCAGATGTTTTCCTCGGGCATCAGTCTTCAAGGAGTCCTCAAACATCATGGCAGATAATTAGATGGAGAACATTACATTTACCATGATATTATGTTAATAGTACATAGCTCAAGTAGATTATTTGACAAGTCTCTCATGGTGGAAGAAAGGCTCCCTGTCCCACCCCAACATACAAAGGGCTTGGATAAATAATACTACCTAGTAACTAAGCTGCCATCTGGGGAGGGCAAGTCAGGTTGGCTGTAAAAGCTATGTTTTGTCCAGAGGCTCTGCTAGCTGGGGACACGGGTGAAATGCTCACCTCTTTACCCTTTCTGTATGTGCCTAGCCGCCTTCTAAATAAGTGATGAACAAATATTAAAGAATATCAGTTTCAAGGGAACCTATATTATCAGCCCATCTTTTAATGAATTTAATTTTAGATAAAATTTATAAATACAGTAGTTGTGTCACTTCTAAAATGCTTCCAGTTCCAGGAAGCTGATTTAAGAAACTATCATTCTGTATTCCTTTGACATTTAAGTTTGGGTTTTAGTGGAAATATAATTTATATGTACATTTATTTTTTTTTAATTTCTAGAAAACAAATTTATTTTCACCTTATGACTAGTATATTCTTATTTCTCATGGAATAATTTGTGGCATAGATAGGTAGACTCTAGCAACTGAGTTTAATTGAAGGTTGCCGTGGATCAGCCTGTGTGCTGTGCTGTGTGATGGGGATAGAGAATGGAGATGCAGCTCCACCTGCAGAAGGCTCACAGCACACAGACCAGCAGATAACGACCACGCAGTGTGTTAGGAGTGAGGTGATCACATGCACAGGATGCCATGAGAACCTGGAGAAGGGGTGCCTGAATCAGGCTTCTGGTACTACCAGAGCTATTTGGAAAAATGGAAATCAGAGAGAGGTGGGATGATTAACAAGGACCCATGGATGAGTTAGGCATGGTCAAGAAACTGTGACTAACTCATTATGCCTGGTGGTGAGTTTGTCATTAAGAGAGTATCAGGAATTGAGGCTAGAAAGATAGGCAGAAGTCAGAACATAAATGATTTTATAGTCTAAGCTAAGGACTTTTTTCCCCCTGAAGACAATGGTGAGCCATTCAGGGATTATAAGCAGAGAAGTAACAGGAAGAGATTTGCACATTGGGATGATCACCATGGCAGCAGATGGTAAAATAGATTGCAGAGGAGGTAGGAACCTTGAAGGCAAGGGAGGAGGTTGGAAAATTGAGTAGTTTTTCGGGTGAACATGTGCAGAGGTCTCGAAAGCTGTGTGGTAGTGAGTTGGAGAGGGAGAGCTAAACTTTCAGAAGGTAGAATCAGGAGCATTGGTGATGGGCTGCGGTGGGAGAGGGCATGGAGTTAGAGGAAGGCCACCTTCCCTCTCAGGTACAAGGTTGTCCCATTAGGCCAGAGAGCACCAGAACGAAAAGTAGGTGGATGCGTTTAGTGGGGAGGCTGGGAGAAGTGTTGGCTGCAGGAGAGAATTATTATTTGACAGTTACCTTTGAGGTTTGGCGTGCCTGGTGGGAACCCAGGGAATGATGTCCCAGGAGCAGTCGGCTGTGCCATGTTACTCAGCATGTTGGCTGAACATGGAATTCTGGGAGAGAGTTGAAAAGAAAAAGATCCAAAGGGACAGAAATATGAGGAAAATAATATTCAGAGTGGGTAGAGGAAAGGAGATAGTTAGTGAACTAGAGAGCAAGACAGGGTGTTAGATAATGCTGTTGGGAGAACTGAGGGCAGGGAGGCGGCATACTGCCCACAAGTGATGGGGTCCGTCTGAGGATGTTGATATGGAAGTCTGAACCTCACTTCAGTGCTGGGTGCTGGGGATTTTTCTTCCCATTGTGGCTTATCTGGCTCCGAGTTTGATAACCTCTCTGGCCAGGGTAGGCCCTGTGAGCTGGCAGGCAGTCAAGACGGTGCTTTACTTCTTCATTCATTGACTATGAACAGCCAAATTTCCTGGAATTTTTTTCTACATTATTCTCATAGCTTCTTATTTTTTTTTTTAATTAACTTTGAAATTAGATGTTGGCTTGAGTGTATTCTTCCGTAAAAATACTCTTAATTTTATTATTTTTGCCTTATAGGGGTCAGGTGATCAACATGAGATACCTGGAATATTTTGAGAAAATACTTCATTTTATTAAAGATAGGATTCTTGTTTATCATGGGTAAGCCTTTAATTTTCTCCTTAGTAATGAGTTGATTTCATGTATTTTATATTTGTTATATTTTTGAAACTTGAGAACTAAGCCTGTTGACAGGCTAAACAAGGTCTGTGAAATTTTTCATAGTGTTAGAATCATATAGGCTTTCATATTCACTTTCTTTTTAATAACTTTACAAAATCCATAGACCTCAGCTGAAGTGTTTTTAACTTTACATGTACTGTTGTGACTTTTCTAGTTTCTTTCTTCTATAAAGTAGGATGTTTCTTTGGATTTATCTATTAGGGATTTCAGCTTTAATACTTATTCTCCCTCACTTTAAAGGCAGGATGGTATAGACAAAACAATGAGTGGAACACTAGCGGAAAAAAATTCCAAATGCTTAAATATCACCAAGTAAATATAAAATTGGTGGGAAAACCTAGCAGAATACTTTCACTTGAGCAGCTTTAGAAAGGAAACAAAACAAAACAAAATATCTACATCTAATTTCAGAGTTGGAATAGGAAAATCAACGTTTAAGGACCAAACTCATAACCAGACATGTTCGCATAAACACTGGCTGTCAGTCCATTCTGCTTTTTCCTGTTTTGCCTTCTAGATGTTTCCTAATTCTCATATGAGGCTGTTTCTTTAATTCTCATCTGCAGCCCAAAACTCATTAGAATTGAACCATCCCATTATTTAGAAACTTTATTTGTGATCTACCATTTTCAATACTGAGCTACTCAAAATTGAGGTCAATTTATTTAAATTAAAGATAATAGCATGATAATTATGACATTTTTGCATTAATCTCAGTTGCCGTCTCTCTCTGTCTCTCTTTAAGAGCTAATAATCCTAAAGGACTGCTGGAAGTTCGAGAAGCCCTGGAAAAGGTACACAAAGTAGAAGACCTTCTTCCGATTATGAAGGTAACTTTATCATCAAAATCGCAGTAGACGTTTTTAGAGGAAAAGAAAACCAACAGCACTGTTAAAAAAGAACTCAGAATTATTAAATGCTATTTGAAATCACTAGTATGAACATGTTCTGAATAATAACCAAAATAAAGGAAAATACAGGCATCAGACTCAAACAGAAAAGTCAACTTGCGAGGAAGCAGTTGCTATAGAAACAGGAAGGCTTAAAAATACATATAATTGAATTCTGCTTCTGGCCACAGCTGAGTGACTGGTACTCAGCTGCCCTTTTACACAATTGCAGTTATAAAACTGGACAAAATGGAAGTCAGTTATTTTCAGGCATTGGCTAATTACAAGACTGTGATCCCACTGTCACCCCAGCTTTCTACTGGGAGTATTTATTAGACCACTGTACAGTAATGTGGAGCCCAAGCAGAGTACAGTGGTCTTGCTAAGCTAAGCAGGTAGAGAGTGGAGTTTGGGTCTGCCAAAGTGGCTGGAATTTGCAGAGCAGAGTATAGAAGAGAAGGAGGCCATACAGGCTGGGGAGTGCCCAGGGGTCCTTTTCATCCTTGACTAAGGCCTTGGTCATGAACGCGCAATGAAAGACCGTGAGAGACTCAGCAGAGAGTCGCTGCTTTGGGGAAAAGAGCTGAGCAGAGGTATCAGAGGTTTATGTGCTGAGGAGACACTGAAGTTCCGGTCTTGCCAGTGAGGATGGGTCCTGTGGACACCTTGGGCGTTTAGTTAAGACCTGAAGAAGGACACCGTGGAAAAGTAAGACCACACTCTACAGTGAGGCCCACAACCTGGGACGAAGAACAATTTCTAAAGAGACTGCCCTAACAGAGTAAAACCAAGTCTAAAAGGATTAAATGGATCAGTTAGTGATTTGACTACCTGTGAAAACTCAGTACCCTTTAAAGGAAGGCAAAATAACCTATACTCTTTAATTATTCGAGAAGTAAATGCCACCGTTTGAATGTGTTCCCCCCAAAATTAATGTGTGGGAAATGGAATCCTCCATGCACACATGTTGGGAGGTAGAGCCTAATGGGAAGTGTTTAATGGCAGAGCCCTCATGAATGAATTAATGCCGTTATAAAAAGGGCTTCAGAGAGTGGGCTCTCTTGCCCTTCCACCTTCCATCATGGGAGGCAGCAGTAAGAAGGCTCACCTCAGACACTGGCCCTGATCTTGGACTTCCCAATCCCCAGAATAAATTTCTGTTCTTTTTTTTTTTGAGACAGGGCCTTGCTCTTGCCTACACTGAGTGACAGAGTGAGACCCTATCTCCTAAAAAAAAAAGCTGGATACAAAAGTATGATTGTGTGATCCAGGTATACCAGGCAAATGCTAATGAGAAGAAAAGTGTGTGAGGCAATGTCAGTATTGGAAACATTTGAAATCAGTGGGAAGAATGCTACAAGGGACAGAAATTATGTGACTAAAGCAGGCGTCCCCAAACTTTTTACACAGGGGGCCAGTTCACTGTCCCTCAGACCATTGGAGGGCCGTCACATACTGTGCTCCTCTCACTGACCACCAACGAAAGAGGTGCCCCTTCCTGAAGTGCGGGGGTGGGGGGGCCGGATAAATGGCCTCAGGGGGCTGCATGCGGCCCGCGGGCCGTAGTTTGGGGACGCCTGGACTGAAATATAATCCATTAAGAAATTATAACTGTGTGAACCTTTCCTCCACCTAGGAGTAAAACTACCCCAAAATCGTGCCAACGGCAGTTAGAATTGCTTTTCCAGGGCTGGGTGCGGTGGCTCACGCCTGTAATCCCAGCCCTTTGGGAGGCCGAGGCGGGTGGACCACGAGGTCAAGAGATCGAGACCATCCTGGTCAACATGGTGAAACCCCGTCTCTATTAAAAATACAAAAAATTAGCTGGGCATGGTGGTGCGTGCCTGTAATCCCAGCTATTCAGGAGGCTGAGGCAGGAGAATTGCCTGAACCCAGGAGGCGGAGGTTGCGGTGAGCCGAGATCGCACCATTGCACTCCAGCCTGGGTAACAAGAGCGAAACTCCGTCTCAAAAAAAAAAAAAAAAAGAATTGCTTTTCCAATTAGTGGTTTGAACACTAATGTGAAACTTGAGTAAATGTTTTTCTTGTAGCTATAGTAGATAAGATTGGATCATATAAAATTTAGGAAGTTTGTATAAATAAGCAAAGTGTATCCATTTCTAAGGAATAACGAGAAAGTAGCATATTGTGAACAGAGCTGAGCATCTGAACTTGGCCCCACATCTGCTTGGCTGGGTGTGTGAGCCTATTTTACAATTGTTCCAGGCTTTTACCTGCTCAAGAGCAATGATTCTGGCCTGACCTACCTCGAGGAGTTCATTGTGAGGGTCTGATGCACTAACACAGTGGCCCTCAACCTTCTCAAACCCACTGTATTGACCCAGTAAGCATGTTCAGATGCCCCTTTTAGAGTCCTTTATTGCGCTAGGATGAACTTCATAGAGAATATGTCTTACCCGCTCACAATATCTACACAAAGTCATCTCAGTATCTCAGTCCACATAATGTATCTCAGTCTGTGGAAATTTGGGCATGCCTTCTCAAGAAGCTGGAAAGCAGTAGCCGGTGTTTCATGCCTACACATAAAATCATGGTGAATGTGACGGTTACAAGTGCAGCTCCATATCTCTGTGTTATTTGGTGAGCTACATTGTCATTGGCGATGTGGTTTTCTGAAATGGTAAATCATGCTTAAGTTCCAAGCTATACACAGTACACTCCTTACTCAATGTATATGCTATTTGCATTCCTGGCAAATTCAGTGTGTATGAAAACTGTATAATAAATAGTTAGTGTTTAAGTGCAAAACAGAGTCTGGTTCCAGGCTCACATATTGATTAAATGATAAACGTGATCTTCATCTACATGAAAATCCGGTGGGATACTAGAAAATCATATATAATGTGGGACAATCCCCTGTACTTTGAGGCATAGAGTAATCCTGGCTCCCAAATATCCAATCCCTATTATAATCAGTCTCCTATAAATTCCCCCAGTGCCCCCCAGAGGGCAGAATGGCTTCACCATGGGCCCTGAGATGTACATGTAGAAAGGAAACTTCAGTATCGTGTGAAGGCTCTTCAGCGCATTCCTGTGGGTATTCTAGTTAGGCATTTAGATGTCCTGTGGTCTTAGGCAGAATACAAAATCAGCTTAGGGTGATTTTAATGCCTTATGTGTCTTTAAGAAAAGCCAAGAGGGCTACAAGACTGTAGTCACTTAGCATGCAGCCTGAGAGACGCGGCATCACCAACCTCAGTGCGAAGTCACCAACTGTTGTCTGGAAGACGTTTGTTCTCAGTGGTGGGATGACATTCCACTTCAGCATTATACATCAAGCTTTTACACAGGATTATGGATATATTGGTACTTTGCAAGGCACACACAGTGGAACATACAGCAAGATATTTGAGTGTTTAAAGTACTTGGTGAAATGTACCAGGTCTGCTTCCACTGAAAGGCACAACGGTGCTATTGATAAAAAACCAAGTTAACGTTCTATCGGCGCCCCCGTAGAGGTGGTTTATTAGCAAGTAACTCGGACTGGAATTCACCAAGGTCTTGGGCCCACGTTCTTACTTTGTGGCTTTCCCACTGGCTGGAACTCAGCCACACTTTGCCTCACCTAGTTCGTTTCTCATCTGTAAGATTGAGACCATACCTAGTGTTATCAGTATGTCGTGAGGATTAGATGAGAATCGTCACATAGTGTATTAGTGCATTTCTTCTGAAGGTGTTTTCTTTGTTTTGCGTAAAAGATGCTTGCCTGTTCAGTGCCTGCTGTGGCCCTGATGGCCTGTGCCACTCATCCTCTGCCTTCTGGGCTGCTGGTGACACCTGCTGCATCTTTCTGTTTCTAGACAAGTTCTTCCATCATGAACCATAGCTGTCTTTTATTTTACTGTTGGTTATCTTAACTTCCAGTCCATCAATCAAAAAAAAAGGCAATATTAAGTTAACTGAATTTGGGGGTCATTTTCCAAAACCTATATATTGCCATCGGAGGTTTGTCCTAAATCTTTTAAACAGAGAGCTAACATCTGAAACTGTGTTCGTGCATTTATTACCCCAAGAGCCATTCTTAGCTCCAAGTAATTCCTTTAACTTAACCAACTTCTCTGTGGTCTACAGAGTTGGGTGGGTGTGGGCGTGGGCATGGGCGTGGGCGTGGGTGTGGGTGTGGTTGTGGGTGTGAATGAAGTTCTCCAGTTAGTGAATATAATCTTGGGTACTTTTCAGAAAAATCAGACTCTGCTCTGAGCACTAGTATGAACATAAGTTGCATTTTTGAATTATGGGATGTTGGGTACAACTATTCTGCCAGTATTCAAAGTTGCTGCCTACTAAGATGGGCATGAGAAAACATTCCAAGGGAGCTCTTAGAAGTGAGTAGTGCCCCTTGCTGATGAAGAGAGCCTGTGAGCTTTCGGTGCTGAGGTTCCCCACTCATCTCAGGTGGGAGCTGTGGGGAGCACAACCTGGGCTCTGTTGGGGCCTGAGGACAGGCAGAGAGATGTCCTTGGCCACTAATTGCCAGGACACCATCTCTTGTCTCAGATGACCTCCGTGGCCCTTCTTAAAAGCATGTAAGGTAGAGCCAGCGCTACAGAGTTGCAGTCGGGGTTTTCAGTGAATTAAACATTAGTAACTTGAATTTTCTTTTTCCCTGAAAGCAGTTTAATACTAAAACGAAGGATGGGTTCACTGTGAACACAAAAGTTCCCAGCCTTAAAGATCAAGGAAAGGAATACGATGGATTCACAATCACGATTACAGGAGACAAGTATGTATGCTTCTTACTGTGGGCGTAGACTAGAGACTGGAGGCAGGAAGGGTGCCTGTGCTTATCACTGTAGAGTTTTGTCGCATTGAACTTTTGCTGAAATGAAAAGTATTGGCCGGGTGTGGTGGCTCATGCCTGTAATCCCAGCACTTTGGGAGGCTGAGGTGGGCGGATCATGATCACGAGGTCGAGAGATTAAGACCATTCTGGCCAACATGGTGAAACCCCGTCTCTACTAAAAAATACAAACAATAGCTGGGCGTGGTGGTGGGCATCTGTAATCCCAGCTACTTGGGAGGCTGAAGCAGAGAATTGCTTGAACCCGGGAGATGGAGGCTGCAGTGAGCCAAGATCAAGCCACTGCACTCCAGCCTGGGTGACAGAGTGAGACTCCATCTCAAAAAAAAAAAAAGAAAAAAAAAACGATCAAGGTCCAGTGAGCAGTTATAACCAGTTATTTTTTAAAATGTGACAGCTAAAGTATTATACCAGCAGATACATTTTCTGACTGTCTAAATCTAAGGACTTCAGAGGTACTAAGTATGATATAGTTTGTGGAAGACATTTCTAGGTTCTTAAAGTTCCTTGGGGGCTGAGGGAGCCTTTTACTAATAAAATGAAAAAAGATGAGGAATGAAGTCCATTGTAGATTTAAATATATATATTAAATTTAATTATTAATAAATAGTATAATCTTATAGAAAATTTAGAATATACACGAGCAAAATTAACAAAATAAAAATCAAGTTATTTTCTTTAAAAACTGAGGTTATACTGTACTTACTGTTTTTTAACCTGTTTATTTTCTACCCTTACCATTACATTATCATGATCATTTCCCCAATCTTAAAAGTATTTTTAGTAACTGTATAATATTCCATTGTATAGATGTAGAATTTCTCTGACTGATCTTTTTGTTATTGACCATTTAGGGTGTTTCTCATTGTTTTACTTTATAAATAACATGGCAATGAACATTTTTATTAACTCTAGTTGTATTTACATCTGAAATCCAAGCTTTGTCTGTCAGATTCCATATTCCTTGAATTGTGGGTGGAATTGCCTTGAGCTGTACCCGCGCGCACATACCCACACACCCACACACACCCACACCCATCTTCAGGTGCATAGCCTTGGGGTGTGCCATGCCCTCCCCCTGGTTTCCACCTGTTCAGCAATGAGGCTGTGACTCACACTCTCCAGCCCCTCTGCCTCTTGAGCTCTGGCTTTCTCAGGTGCTTTTCCTCTAAACTACAGGGAGCCACCTCTTCAAGTTCCATGTCAAAGCTTAAACAGGCTTCATGAGTAAACAGCAGTTTAGCAACTTCCAGATTTGGGGGCTTTTCCATATCTTTGAAGTCTTGATCTCTACCCTAAGCTTCTTATCAAAGTATGTTCCCAATAAAGATCATTTTCCCCTGATTGCAGGGTGTGCTGTTTAATGTAAAAAGTAATCTCCTACCTTTTCACACATCCATGATGTGTATCCTCAGATCAGATTCTCAAGCAGAAATTTGATTACTAAATAAGTACAGTTGATCTTTGAATAACTCAGGGGTTAGGGGGTTTGAACTTCCCATTCCTACCAGGCAAAAATTTGCATATAACCTTTGACTCCCCCAAAGCTTAACTGGTAGCCTACTGTTGATCAGAAGCCTTACCAAAAACATAAACAGTCGATTAACACATATTTTGTATGTTATATGTATTATGTTTTGTATTCTTACAATAAAGTAGGCTAGGGAAAAGAAAGTATTATTAAGAAAACCAAAGAATGCCACACAGCTACAACCATCTCATCTTTGACAAACCTGACAAAAACAAGCAATGGGGAGAGGATTCCCTATGTAATAAATGGTGCTGGGAAAACTGGCTAGCCATATGCAGAAAACTGAACTGGACCCCTTCCTTATACCTTATACAAAAATTAACTCTAGATGGATTAAAGACTTAAACATGAGGCTTAACACCATAAAAACTCTAAGAAAACCTAGGCAATACAATTCAGGACATAGGCATGGGCAAGGACTTCATGACTAAAACACCAAAAGCAATGGCAGCAAAAGCCAAAACAGACAAATGGGTTCTAATTAAACTTCAGAGCTTCTGCACAGCAAAGAAACTATCAATAGAGTGAACCAGCAGCCAACAGAATGGGAAAAAAATTTTGCAATCTACTCATCTGACAAAGGGCTAATATCCAGAATCTACGGAGAACTTAAAGAAATTTACCAAAAAAAAAAAAAAAAAAAAGAAAGAAAAAACCCATCAAAACGTGAGGCAAGTGACAAAACAGACTCTTTTCAAAAGAAAACATTTATGCAGCCAACAAACATATGAAAAAAGCTCATCATCACTGGTCATTAGAGAAATGCAAATCAAAACCACATTGTGATACCACCTCATACCAGTTAGAATAGTGATCATTAAAATCAGGAGACAACAGATGCTGGAGAGGATGTGGAGAAATAGGAACGCTTTTACTCTGTTGGTGGCGGTGCAAATTAATTCAACCATTGTGGAAGACAGTGTGGCAATTCCTCAAGGATCTAGAAATAGAAATACCATTTGACCCAGCAATCCCATTACTGGGTATATACCCAGAGGATTATAAATCATTCTATTATAAAGACACATGCACATGTATGTTTATTGTGGCACTGTTCGCAATAGCAAAGACTTGGAACCAATCCAAATGCCCATCAGTGATAGACTGGATAAAGAAAATGTGGCACATATACACCGTGGAATATTATACAGCCATAAAAAAGGATGAGTTCGTGTCCTTTGCAGGGACATGGATGAAACTGGAAACCATCATTCTCAGAAAACTGACAAAAGAACAGAAGACCAAACATCGCATGTTCTCACTCATAAGTGGGTGTTGAACAATGAGAACACAAGGACACAGGGAGGGGAACATCACACACCAGGACCTGAGGGGTGGGGGCCTAGGGGAGGAATAGCAGGGTGTGGGAGGATTGGAGAGGGCTAGCATTAGGAGAAGTACCTAATGTAGATGACGGGGGGATGGATGCAGCAAACCCCACCATGGCACGTGTTTACCTATGTAACAAACCTGCACGATCTGCACAGGTACCCCAGAACTTAAAGTATAATAAATAAATCTTAAAATATATTAATTTAATTTAATTAAACATTTTAAAAGTCATAAGAAAAGTATACTTAACTATGTGTTAAGTAGAAATGCATCATCATAAAGCTCTTCTCATTATGTTCACATTGAGTAGGCTGAGGAGGAAAAGGAGGGGGTTGGTCTTGCTGTCTCAGGGGTGGCAGAGGCAGAAGAAAATCATATTAAGTGGATCCATGCAGCTGGAACCCATGTTATTCAAGGGTCAACTGTACATGAAGTTTCTCCCCCTGAAGTGTGACATCTTTCCTCACTTGCCTGTTTCACCCCACTTGCTTCCTCTCTTGCTTTGGGCCTCCTGATCCCTCAAGTAGACTCTGCCTGGCATCCCATTTCCTGCCTCCTGCTTTGCCAGCTTCAGCAGTGTTCCTAAAGCTCCACCTCATTGGGTGTTCCCCTAACTCCAAAAATCTCTCCCTTCTCCATACCTGGCCATTGCCTGTCGCTACAAAACCAGCTTCCCAGCCAGGCATTCACAGTCTCTCACAAAGTGGCCTCAGACATTTCCTGCTTGACCTGGACCATCTCCCTGTTGGAACCTGGCCCGCTAGTCTGACTGGACTGTTTGTTCCCCCGGTTCACCTCTGCTTTCCGACATCTGGGTCTCTGTCACTCCCATCCCGACCCACATTCAGGCCACTTCTCCCATGAAACCGTTCCTGCTTTTCTCCATGTTGTCCAAATTAGATTCTTTTTTTGATTCCTGATGAGCTACATTATGACCTGAATCATGGTCTCATAATAATTTGTGACCCTTGGTCAGAAGTGGTGGCTCATGCCAGCACTTCAGGAGACCAAGATGGGAAGATTGCTTGAGGCCAGGAGTTCGATATCAGACTGGGCAACATGGTGAGACCGTGCTTCTGCAACAGATTTTTAAAAATAGCCACAGGTACATACCTGTAGTCCCAGCTACTCAAGAGGCTGAAGTGGGAAGATCACTTGAGCCCAGGAGTTTGAGGCTGCAGTGAGCTATGATCACCCTACTGCTCTTTAGCCTGGGTGATAAAGCAAGATCCCATTTCTAATAATAATAATAATTTGTGGCCCAGTTTCTCCCTTCCTTCCTCAATCAAGGCAGCAGCTGGGCTTTTCTTTGTAGGATCCAAGGACAAAGTGCAACACTTTGCTAGTGTCGTTATACCAAAAAAAAAAAAAAAAAAAAAAAAAAAAAAAAAAAAAGGCCTGTTGTATCAAACTTAGGTCCTTCGTAGAACCTCAGTGGAGCTAAAGCATAACAAACAAAACAGTGGTGAAGTCCCTGAACTTTTTTCCTACATACAGTTCTTCCTTCTGGCCTTTAATCCTAATGGGGTGACTGAGAAAATATTTGCTGGTCATTTAAATGTATTCCTTACTATGTGTAATTGTTCTCCCATATAGTAACTTAAGCTCATGTAATAAGTACATGTGGTTAGACTTAACTGTGAGCAAATCAATCACTTAAAGGTGAGGCAACTGTCATATTTTATGAAGAAATAATGCATTCTTATGAAACCTACCTTGCTTGTCTATAGTTAGAAAGGCAAGGTACATTCTTGTATGTGTTTAGTGCCACATCAGCATGCTATCTGCTTTTTAAAAAAAACTTTCTGCGTTTGGCTGCTTGAACTTATAATACATGCCTTTGATTCTTTTTTTTTTTTTTTGTACTTTCAGAGTTGGCAATATATTATTTTCTGTGGAAACTCAAACCACAGAAGAAAGGACACAATTATATCATGCTGAAATAGATGCACTTTATAAAGATTTGACAGCAAAAGGAAAAGTATTGATTCTTTCATCAGAATTTGGGGTAGGTTTCTCTGTTTCCATTTTTCTGTTCGTCCTGTGATTCTTTTGTAAACTTTTTGAATCTGCCCTTTCGTCGAGATTGTACACCTTGTGCTTGAAATCAGATTGAATTTGACCTAAGAATATTTCTTTTGAAATGTTTTTATAGCCCCAAAATTCTTGTTTTTAGTAACTATAGTAACGGGGAGGATAATAAATTAATAATTTAGTACTGTGCTACAACATTATCATAAGTTTGGGCTTTGACACCATATAAAAAAGTTGGTCCATAGTGAAAATGACTTGGCTGGGCTTCACCTTTTTCTTTTGTTTTCTTCCCTTCATTGTGGTTGTTGCTTATAACCATACATTTACAATGAGCTTTTGAATGTAGACTAGATGATGCATTCTGATGAGTTCATGGCAATGAAAGTACAGTTGAATTGTGTATACTTTGCACTTAGCAGCCCTTTGCTGGTCTGTGGCCTCTGCCCTTGGTGTCCGCCCGGACTAGAGGTGGTGGTGTTGCAGGCAGCAGGGTATGGTGGACATTCTTTCCCCACCACGCCCCCTCCCTGTGTTCTGCAGTGGACGGATACCCGTTACCCTTGAAAAGTCACCTTATTTTTCCAACTATTAATCATTTCATATATAATTAAGCATCTGAGTACATATACATAACTGAGCATCATCTAAATCTCATTGTGGAGTAGAGGAAGGGGCTTACCCAGATCTTTTGGGGTAAGCCCCTTCCAAATTTTTTTTGTTTCTGAGAAACAATTTTTTTTTAATTAAAATTGTAAAAGGCACTTATTAACACCAAATATGTTTTCTCAAAAATGTCTTTTTTTCTAGGAGGCTGATGCTGTCTGCAACTTAATCTTATCCCTAGTTTATTACTTTTATAATTTAATGCCACTCTCTCGAGGATCCAGGTAAGTAACAACCTGTCATTAATATTATTTTAAATTGAGAAATGTGTTCTTTTTTGTTTATCCTTCCTGTTATGGTTATAGGTAGAGTAAACCAAGAAATGGTAAGGGGCTCCCTATTTTTTTCCCAAATTCTGCACAAAAAAATATTTCCTTAGTCTACTGCATCATCAAAAGAATTATAGAAGGCAGTTCTAATATAGTGTGCTTAAGTTTAATAGGATAGGGATTCATCCATTCAACAGAAGTTCATGGAAAGTTTACTGTGTACCATGAGTCGTGCTCAGCATGTTTTTATTTTTGGTGTCTGCCAGCCTCTTACTGGACCTTCTCCTCTCTCTCCTCTATTTTGGGCTGTCAGGTGACCCATAATCCTCATGTTTTATACTTTTGGGGCACCAGTCCCTCGTTACTATTTTTATTATTTTTGATAAATTCTTGCTACTTGTATGAGTACATCAAGAGTTTCTTAGGTGCCATTAGAAACAAAGGCTGTGACTGTAGAGTTTTCATTTCATTCTCCTTCTCCCAGTACTACGTGCAGTAAATCACATAAATGGCCTTTTGCCATTACTGGCACATAGTTATTGAACTTAAGATGTGTAGGCTAAAAATTATACACTTCAATGTCTTTATCTTTGATTAATTATTTAGAAAGTAAAACTCCCCTAAACATGGTAGTAAGTTTGGTTATAGTATTTAAAACTCAATGAAACAAAATACAAACATAAATGTTATCTAATCAGCATAATATTGCTAGTTGTATCCACTGGGTAAGTGATGTGAGTGCGGCCTGTGCACATCACCGCCTGTGGGCCCCATGTTCAGGCACAGTGGGAAGTAGCCAGCATCCTCCTTTGTTCTCACAGCAACTCTGCTGGCTCATGTGTGACACCAAATGAAGTGCAGCTCTGATGGTCCTCCACTCTCCCTCATCCCTACATCTCTTCAGTGCTACACAGCCTGTTGATTCCACCTCCCACACTTCTGCATCTCTCTTCCCTAAGCCCGCTGCCTGCCATGGCTAGCTTTGCTTCTGCTCCTCTCTGTGCCCCGAGGCTCTCCAGCACCTTCTGAAAACCATGGGCTCAAGCTTGGCAGCATGCACAGTGCACCGTGCCAGCCCTGCTCTGCCCTACCCTGGTTTGCTTTGGCTGCGGCACCACTCTCTTCTGCTGCTTTTTCTCTTCCCTTTGGCCCTTGGTGCGAGTGGGCTCTCAGCCACACCTCCCTGCCATCTCTGCCCCTTTTGCCCCCAGCCCTGGGGCCCTTGAGGATGCAGGGCACATGTCTTCAGCCTCTGAAATCTTCCCTGCTGGAGAACCCCATGAATCAACTTGACTCACTTTTCTTGGTGTCTGCCCATGGCACTTGTTAGCTTTCTCTGAAGGTGCTTGTGCCATCTTGTCCCCTTGCTAGGGTGCATTATCTCATGGGTGAGAGCTGTCTTTATCTTGAGCCAATTTGTTTTGGGAATAGTACAACACTGTGGTTACAATACCAGGTCCCCCAGACTTTTGCAAGCCCCTTCCACCCAGAACCAGCCAGCCCCTTCTCTGCTCTCACCAAGAGCAGAAGCATAACGCCTTGTAAGCGCCTCCTGCCCCAGACCTGTATGCTTGCAGCCCTAAACTCATTCACAAGCCCCCAGGCCAGCAGGCAAAGGCACCCCACAATCTCCTGGGCCTCTAACAGCCACCTCAGAGCCCTGGCAGTTCATACACACTCCCAAAGCTCCAAACCATCTGTCCATCAGTACACTGGGAGAATGTGTTCAGCATTTCTAATGCTTAAAAAATAAGACGAATGTATGTATTTATATTTATGAGCTTTATTGTATATATGCATTTTAAAGCCAAGCCTCATGAAATTGTTAAAATATAAACAGGCACATTTTAAAATATACTATATTAGAATATATTTTTTAAAACCCCCAAATAGGTCTTTTAAATGTGGTTTAGTGTGGGGGAAAAAATTTTTTTTAAATAAAAACACAAGTAGGAAGAAACTCCTAGTAAAAAGAAACACTTTTGGCTAGGTGCGGTGGCTCACGCCTGTAATCCCGTCATTTTGGGAGGCCAAAGTGGGAGGATCACGAGGTCAAGAGATCAAGATTGCCCTGGCCAACATGGCGAAACCCTGTCTCTACTAAAAATACAAAAATTAGCCGGGCATGGTAGCATGTGCCTGTAGTCTCAGCTACTCAGAAAGCTGAGGCAAGAGAATTGCTTGAACCCGGGAGGTGAGGCTGCAGTGAGCTGAGATTACACTGCTGCACTCCAGCCTGGGTGACAGAGTGCGACTCCATCTCAAAAAAGAAAAATTAAAAAACACCTTTTTTCTCAGAAAATGAATGTTCTTGGTGACACTGTTAAATTAGTGAATATATTCTTTTTTTTGTTTATCTTTTTGAGACAGAGTTGTGCTCTGTCACTCAGGCTGAAGTGCAGTGGTGTGATCTCAGCTCACTTCAGCATCCACTTCGTAGATTCAAGTGATTCTTGTGCCTCAGCCTCCTGAGTTGCTGGGATTACAAGTGCCACCACCACATTGGGCTAATTTTTGTGTTTTTTTCTTATGAGACGGAGTCTTGCTCTGTTGCCTAGGCTGTAATGCAGTGGCATGATCTCGGCTCACTGCAGCCTCCACCCTCTGGGTTCAAGCGATTCTTCTGCCTCAGTCTCTCAAGTAGCTAGGATTACTGGGGCCCACCATCACACCCGGCTAATTTTTTGTATTTTTAGTAGAGATGAGGTTTTGCCATGTTGGCCAGGCTGGTCTCAAACTCCTAACCTTAAGTGATCCACCCGCCTCAGCCTCCCAAAGTGCTGGGATTACAGACGTGAGCCACCATGCCTGGCCTAATTTTTGTGTTTTCAGTGGAGACAGGGTTTCACCATGTTAGTCTCAAACTCCTGACCTCAAGCAATCTGCCCACCTTGACCTCCCAAAGTGCTGGGATTACAGGCGTGAGCCACCTCACCTGGCCAGTTAATACATTTTAATATCAAATTAGTAACTATTCTTAAACAAATAGACATATTTTCATGTTAAATGAAACATTCTGTGTTTTATTCGAAAGAATTTTTAAATAAAATTTATCTTTCATGATGGGGAATCCATGAGTGAAATTTAACGTGGTAACTGTAGACTGTCCAGAACGGATTGACCATTGTTTTTTATTTAAATAGTGTAATTGCTTACTCGGTCATCGTGGGAGCACTGATGGCAAGTGGAAAAGAAGTAGCAGGAAAAATTCCCAAAGGGAAGGTACGTTGGAGGGGGAAGGGAGAAATGCTTGTTTATGTGTTAAGTCCCAATCTACAGATTTTTATTTTAAGGTGCACGAGTTACACAGATCTCCAACCAAGCCTGTGTCTTCCATGTTTACGAACATTCCTAAATGTCATTCTTTTTCAGTTAGTCGACTTTGAAGCTATGACAGCCCCTGGTTCAGAGGCCTTTAGCAAAATCGCCAAAAGCTGGATGAACTTGAAAAGGTAACTGCTTGAGGGGGTATCATAACTGGAGCAGGAAAGGGGGTTTCCTATTACTTTGGAGCTCTGTGAAAACTGGAATTGTTATACTCATTTTTATAAGTTAATATTGTAATACAATGAATGTAATCCACTTTGTCAAGGTTAAAATGTTTTGCGATTGTATAAGATAACCTTTTTTTTTTTTTTTTGAGATGGAGTCTCATTCTGTAGCCCAGGCTGGAGTGCAATGGCATAATTGAGGCTCACTGCAACCTCTGCCTCCCAAGTTCAAGCAATTCTCCTACCTCAGCCGCACAAGTAGCTGGGATTACAGGCATGTGCCACCACACCTGGCTGTGGTTATTTTTTTTTTTTTTTGTATTTTTAGTAGAGAGGGTTTCACCATATTGGCCAGGCTGGTCTCAAACTCCTGACCTTGCGATCTGCCCATCTTGGCCTCCCAAAGTGCTGGGATTACAGGCATGAGCCACCACGCCCGGCCAAGATAACCTTTTAAGGGTGAGTGTATGGATAAAAATGGATGATGAAGGCCAGGCGCAGTGGCTCACTCCTGTAATCCCGGCACTTTGGGAGGCTAAGGTGAGAGGATCACTTGAGGCCAGGAGTTTGAGACCAGCCTGGGCAACATAGTGAAACTGCTCCTCTCTTAAAAAAAATTTTTTTTTAATTAGCTGGGCGTGGTGGTGTGTGCCTGTAGTCCCAACTACTTGGGAGGCTGAAGTGAGAGGATTGCTTGAGCCTAGGAGTTTGAGGCTGCAGTGGGCTATGGTTGCACCACTGCACTCAAGCCTGGGCGACAGAGTGAGACCCTGACTTAAACAAAACAAAACAAAAAAGCATGAACAAAAGATTGTTAAAGTAGTTGGTGAAGGAAAATTACTAAAGTCTTATCTGTATGATCAGGTATTCACTTCTTTTGGCCTGTTTTCTCTTAGGCTTAGCATTCAGGAGTGTTTGAACCTGTAGACAGAGCCCATTTTACATTACTCTGAGTGGTAGCACTTCGCCTACTTACTTAGTGCAATAAAATGCAACTAAGTAGGCTCCAGTTTTCTGAAGCTGGCACTTTATTGCCACTTAGGCAGACAGTATTGTGAGCTAGTATATAGCTGCCAGGAATCATCCCTGACAGTCACTGTGTGTGAGGAGTCTAGCAGTCCATGATTGTTCCTGGCTCTTGTTTCCAGAAGCACTAGAGAGGACTGTGTGAATCTGAAGTGTGTGAAATTAAACTCATAGATGCCTCAGTAGTTAATAAAGAATAAGCAAGCCTCACTGTTTGACCTTAGTTATTCCTGCCCGTTCTCCTGGTTTTTTACATCCCAACCACCTCAGTTTTGCCTTTCACATCTATTTGACATAGCAACCACTCTTTTTTGCTGGGTAATTTATATTTGTGCCTATAGTCCACCATTGCTCAGTTTGTAATTTAGCTTTGCAGTGAAAGCTTCTAGCAGTTACACCCTGTCCTGGTACATTCTTGTTTCAGGTTTATTAGTTTGCACATGTTTTAGTAATACAACCACCAGGCCAAAGGTCTTGCTTCTGTACTTACATAATTGTACAGTGTGAATCTTTTGACAATTCTTTAAGGAAAGAACAACACTACCTTACATCGTGTATTTAATGCTTTACAGTGTACCTTGATATACCTTGTCTCATTCAGAGCTCGTGGTAACTTCGAATTAAGAATACTTTCCCTGTGACAGATCAGGGAAGTGCAGCCTAGAGAAATAAGGAAAGCTAATAAGGAGTGAAGCTGGACCTGAAACCTGTGTCTTTTGATTTCAAGCCCAGCAGGCACCACCGCTGGACATGTAAATCAGAGTTTAATTTTCTTTTTCAAAGCTCTAGTTTAACTTCCAAGCAGCTCCTAACGTGTTGGCTGATACCCTAGGCCACTGTTGTGGGAGGAGCTGTTCTGTTCCCAGTTCCTCCCTGCCTTTCTAACATTGTCTAATATTACAAATATAATGAGTATAATCATAGGAATAACTGTAACATGAGCGCCACCTTGTTTGCCAATTTTCTTGGTTTTCATACCACTACTTTGTGTTTTTCTTTTTCAGTATTTCACCTTCTTATAAGACTCTTCCGTCAGTATCAGAAACATTTCCAACGCTAAGATCGATGATCGAGGTGCTAAACACGGACTCTTCTCCACGCTGTCTTAAGAAACTCTAGTTCTGCTGCGGTAATTTATACAAGTAAAGGGCCGGACCTCTTGCTTCTTAAGTTATTTTTTAAAACATGGAATTATAAAGAAATTAGGTCATCTATTACTTTTGATACCAATTTTTGATAGGAATTGAATACTTGAAATCATTTTCTTTACTTTTCTGAACCATAACAAAAATCCTGAAAGAGGCTTTCAGGGGAAAAAAGCTACTTGACTTGGAGGGAAAGTGTATGTGTTAGCCAGAGGCCTGTTGGTTTCCATTTACAAAGTCATATAACTCCTTCCTTACAGTAAAAAAAAACATTTTCTTCAACAACTAAAAAATAATGATGAAGTAAACAAGAACAAAACCAAATAGGCTTGTATTCCTTTAGAGATCTGGATATTTTTCAAAGAGTTTCTATGCACATTGTGATAGAGCATCTTTTGTTGACTCACGTAACCTCCATGTGTGAGTCCTTTGTTTTGTTTGAACCCTGGAAGAAGGTTCCTGGGCCATCAGTATGTGTTGCGGAGCTCACAGCCAGGAGCAGTTATTTTAAACAATGCAGACAGTATTTGCCAATGTCCCAAACACTGAATTATTGAACAATGTGTTTTTTTTCTTTGTTGAAAAAAAATAAACTGGGGTGATTTCTATAAATCACCAGTGTTTGGCACTGGATTATGTTTGTGTTTATTTTGTGAGCCAGTTTCCCTTTCAGGTATAAGAACATTCAGAAAATTTATCTCATTTTTTTTTTCCCAGACAGGGTAGATGACAGTGGGTAAAATGGGTTAATGAAAACTATTGCCGTTTCCAAATGGTACCACCCATTAGCAAGCCTGCTCTTCTAGCCCTTCGGCAGGACACACCCCCATCTCTTCACTTGGCCACTTCTCCCAGTCCGTTGTCATTTCTCTTGGACCACTTCCGTAGACTCCTGACTCATCTTCTTGCTGCTGCTCTGTTTAAATCCCACAGCCCCGCTTTGTCCTAAAATGGAACGCAGTCTCCTGCTGGAGCCCAGCTGACATGGCTCTGTTTCTCTGATCGCATCTCTTTCTCCCCACCCTCCTTTTTTAGTACCATCCACTCACCTAGCCTTTTCCTTCCTTGAGAACCTTACAGTTAGCTTGACACTGTCTGATAGAACATTCCATGATGATGTTCCAGAATGTTCTGTGTGCTGCCAGTATGGTAGTCAGTAACCTCATGTGGCTACTGAGCATTTGAAACAGGACCAGTGTGCCTGAGGAGCTGAGCTTCACGTTTAGTGTTAATTAATTTAAATTCAAATAGCTACATGTAGCTAGTGGTTATTATGTTGGCCCATGCAGCCTACCGAGTTCCTTGTGAAACTTTAAAGGTTTTTCCACAGAAACAATTCGGAATGGTGGTCTCCCATGGCAGTTTAATATCATTTTGAATTTGAGGTTGAAATATCATTTTGAATTACTCGGGCAAGTCTTGGCTACTTAGACTTGCCCAAATAGCTAAGCTCTTACTATGATTTGTTTTTATTCACAAGAGTTCTGACACCAGATACGTGGAGTTTTCCCCCATACCAACCCATTCTCCAGCTTTCCATATATCAGCTGGAGTGGGGAGGGATCCTGCAATTCACATCTGACACTAACTTCCTGGAGTTTACACAGACCCCAGATTGGGCTCAGTTAAGGGCTCAGTCTCACAAGACAGCACCCTTTTCAGATACCAGTTGCAAGTCAGGATCTTCTGTACTTCTCACTGATTGGCTGTAACTCAGGGGTCCCATCACCCCCTCCCTCCTCAGGTTTGACAATTTGCAAGAATGGCTTACACAATTCAGGGAAACCCTTTATTTGCTATTACTGATTTATTATATCGAATACACATGAACAGCCAAACGGAAGAGGTATACAGGGCAAGGGATGGGGGGGAGCATGGGTGCTTCCATGCCTTCTCCAGGCCCACCACCCTCCCTGCACCAACCAAAAACCCCAAACCTTTTCACTTTACATCATTGGCAGTTAGCTCAATCCTCAGCCCCTCTTTTCTCTCTGGAGGCTAGGGGTTGGGACTGAAAGTTACTCTAATCACATGGTTAGTTCCTCGGGCTCCCAACCCCCATCCTCCAAGAGTCACCTCATCAGCAGAAATTCAGGTATGGTTGGAAGGTGGTAATTAATAACAAAAAACACTTCTCAGCCTGATCGCTTAGAAAACCCGATAGTTTTACAAGCTCTGTGCCAGGAACTGGAGGGCAGAGATCAGCTATATCTTTCTTATTACCTCAGTATCACACTTCTGTTGATCAAATTGCTTCTGTCAATCAAGAAGTTCGAACTTTTAAAAAACTGACTTTAAAAAATCTAGAGCAAAATTTGTTAGTTCATTAAGAAATTTAGTGTGGAATTTCTTTGGTATAGAAACTATATGAGGGTCAAGAAACTGACATCCAACTCTGTGATCATTACTCTCTGATACTTTGGAAATAAGGAATAAAATTGATATACCTCAGAAGAGAGATGAGCAAAATCACCTAAAGAAACCCGGCGTGTCCTAGATGAGCAAAATGTGACTGTTCATGGGTACATCTTAAGATGTCTGTAATGGGGCTCATCATTCCTTCACCCAAAGTCTGTTCCTCCCCACTCTTCCCTGTGTCAGAAATGGCTCCCTCTTCACTCTGCAGCTTTAGCCAGACACCGAGGTAGCCTCCAGAGTCTGCACTGCCCTCCTGCAGTGTTCAGATCATCACCATGAGCCACTGCACCCGGCCACGTATGACTTCTTTCCGAATGAAGCCTGAGATCAAGCAATCCAGAGTAGGCAAGCAAAAAAAGCCAACAAGAAAGCAGACAGAAGAGAGCAGAAGCCAAGGGAAACATAGGTCCGAGGACAGAGGAGAAGGAGGGGTCAGATCAGAGGCTAAGGTAGAAGTGAGCAACGCTAGAGCATGGTACCACTACCAGGAGATGTGAGAGTGGGTAACAGTTTGGGCGACACTGATGGTAGCTGGTGGGAAAGGCTTCTAGAGGCTTCCAGAAGCTCTGCCCTGGTGTTGGCACACTAGTCTTCTCTCATGGGATTTGATAACATAATTGTCTGATTCACTTTGGCTTTTCTTCCTTTGACATTTCCAGATTTCGTCACATCTCCGAGACTACAAGTAAAACTTGTGTCTAAACGTCTCATGGGATGCTCCCAGGAACTGCTTGATCCTCGTTTTTGAAACTTCAAGTGCTGGCTAAGTAAGGGGATGTATTTATTAGTCCATTCCCGAAGGGTTATAAAGAAATGCCTGCGATTGGGTAGTTTATAAAGGAAAGAGGTTGAATTGGCTCATGGTTCTGCAGGCTGCCCAGCAAACATGGCTGTGGAGGCCTCAGGACAGTAACGGAAGGTGAAGCGGGAGCAGGCATTTGCTTTGTCCCTCAAGCTGGAGGGCAGTGGCACAATCATTGCTCACTTCAGCCTCCAACTCTTGGCCTTAAGTGATCCTCTTGCCTTGGCCTCCCAAAGTACTGGGATTACAGGTGTGAGCCACCGCACCTGGCAAATACTTTATAATTTCTGAAGCCAACATATAAACAAGTGCAATAAAAGTCACCTAAACAAGTGGCTCTTTTCAGAAATAGTTTGGAGGAAATAATTCAATACCTCTTATTTATAGTTTTGTAATGTTCTTTTTAAATGCTTATAATATCTTGAAAGTTAAGATCTTTCAGAGAAAAATTTTGAAAAGTGTCCTGGCCTGAAGTCATGTTTTAGAAATCAAGTTTTTAAAACATCTTAAAAAGCTGTGTCTTTAGGATGCAGTATTTAAACATTGCCTGCAATTCTGGAATAACAGTAACCCTAACGATAGATACAATTGGAAAAGGTGGCCAGGTCCAAAAGAGAAACGGTTTTTGGGGGAAAATGGCAATCCTATTGTTCTGCATAAGCTGATGGCTTTTCTTTAGCCTGAGTGAGAAGCTTGAGGACAGGGAAGTATTCAAAGGGAATTTCTCAGTTGATAATCCCCTGGCACAAAGGTTGAGTTAGGTGCGTCTCCCTTGATATGGTTTGGATCTGTGTCCCTGTCCAAATCTCATGCGGAGTTGTAACCCCCGGTATCGGAGGTGGGGTCTGGGTGGTGACTGGATCATCAGGGCAGTTTCCCATGGTTTGGCACCGTCCCCCCTTGTTACTGACATGCGGTGGTTTAAGGTGCGTGGCCCGCCCCCTTCTCTCGCTTGCTCCCGCTTCACCTTCCGTTACTGTCCTGAGGCCTCCACAGCCATGCTTGCTGGGCAGCCTGCAGAACCATGAGCCAATTCAACCTCTTTTCTTTATAAACTACCCAATCGCAGGCATTTCTTTATAACCCTTCGGGAATGGACTAATAAATACATCCCCTTACTTAGCCAGCACTTGAAGTTTCAAAAATGAGGATCAAGCAGTTCCTGGGAGCATCCCATGAGACGTTTAGACACAGGTTTTACTTGGAGTCTCAGAGATGTGACGAAATCTGGAAAAGTCAAAGGAAGAAAAGCCAAAGTGAATCAGACAATTATGTTATCAAATCCCAGGAGAGAAGACTAGTGTGCCAATACCAGGGCAGAGCTTCTTGAAGCCCCTAGAAGCCTTTCCCACCAGCTACCATCAGTGTCGCCCAAACTGTTACCCACTCTCATGTCTCCTGGTAGTGGTACCATGCTCCAGCGTTACTCACTTCTACCTTAGCCCCTGATCTGACCCCTCCGCCTCCTCTGTCCTTGGACCTATGTTTCCGTTGGCTTCTGCTCTTCTGCTCTCTTCTGTCTGCTTTCTTGTAGGCTTTTTTTTTTTTTTTTTTTTTTTTTTTTGCTTGCCTATTCTGGATTGCTTGATCTCAGGCTTCATTTGGAAAGAAGTCATACGTGGCCGGGTTCAGTGGGTCATGCCTGTAAGCCCGGCACTCTGGGAGGCCAAGGCGGGCGGATCACAAGATCAAGAGATGGAGACTATCCTGGCCAACATAGTGAAACCCCATCTCTACTAAAAATACAAAAATTAGGTGGGCATGGTGGTGTGCACCTGTAGTCCCAGCTACTGGGAGGCTGAGGCAGGAGAATTGCTTGAACCCGGGAGGTGGAGGTTGCAGTGAGCCAAGATCGAGCCACTGCACTCTCGCCTGGCGACAGATTGAGACTCCATCTCAAAAAAAAAAAGAAGTTATATTTAAAAAGACAAAGTGATAATGATTTTAAAAGAACGACATCAGAGTAGCTGTGGGAAAGCTGAAGGACCCAATTATTTCCACCTGAGGTGGGTAGCTGTGACGGGCTATGCAGAGGAGGTGTGAAGAATGTGGGACAGCAGAGGCTGAGTAGAAATGTGCCAGGTAGCAAAGGCCCTTCCCAGCAGAGGCAAAGTTGGGGGAAAATGTTGAGAGAGGTGAAAGTGCCTAGTGTGCTTGGGGTGGCTTGCAGATGCAGCTGGAAATGGAATGTGGGGCAGAGTGGGGGAGGTCTTGCCATCATCACAAGGAATTTGGATTTCATTCTCTAGGTAGTTTGTAAAGCATGGGAATGACTTGACTAGAATTGGGAAGATCATTCACCGTCAACATCAAGGACAGCTTAAAAGAGGGCAGGTTTGCTCCTGCCCTGACACGGTTCTTCTCTGCGTCCTTGGCCCTCTCATGCTTCAGTCCCATCCTTAACTGGGACCAC